GTTGTGCATTCGCGGTTAAAGGGCCCATTGAATGTAATTTTTTTAAAGGAATCCTTGGAAATGCACCTATGTGCCCCATTTAACCTTATTTTCAATTGTAGTTTTGCCATTTTCCAGGGTATTTTGGTGCCTTTTTCGTTTTTATGCATATGCTACTTTCCATATTCATGAGCAAAAGTGTGATGTCACTTCAGGCAGAAGCCTCAATGTTACAGCTTTTTCAAAACCAAAAGTTGCCAGAATTTTGGATATTTCACAGTGACTGTCGTATAATTTTCTTTTGGTGATTCGTTGTTGTGCCAGTACGTGGCAGTTAGACAACGAGCAAACTTTCTCAGAAATGTTTTCAAAAAGCAAGTTTTGGGTTCACAATTTGAACAGAAAACCCCTAAACTGAACAGTGTCTTCCTGAAATGACATCACAGCAACAGCGCCCTCAGTTGTCAAAAAACATGGAATTGTTTTAAATGTTTAAAGAAGTGCACTTTTTAATAAACTTATGGGTACATAATATATAAGAATGGATCCTCAAAGACTTCCATATAACAATCCCGAGGTAGTTAGATGGCATAAGGACAGATATCAAGAACTTAAATTTAGCATCACTGACACAGAAGCAAGCAGAACAGCCCAAATAAGGATGGCATCACTCAACTAGGTTGGAGCGGACGCCATAAAGGAATGAACCAAAAAAAGGGATGTCTAATAGTTTTCAAACATTTGAGAAGAGTAGAAAGTTGCACAAAATAATTATGGTCCTAAGAAACATTCGCTTCATGGACCCTTTAATTCATCAACATAACAAAACACGCATCAAAATGACTGCTGAACGTAATAGATTTATACCTTTAAAAATTAAACCAAGGAGTACGTCGTTCTTTAATGCCAGATCATGTCTTTCAAGGGAAATCCTGTTTCTGGGTTATTAATTTTTTCTTCATCTTTTCTTGATAATGACAAGAGCATTTAGACATGTTGGGGGCGTACTTTGGTTAAAAATATATATATTTTGTATCTATGGGTGGCCGTTAGTTTGCATACATTTCCAACCATGTTGACAACCTATTTTCTCAAACAAATTGTCCCTGTTGGTGTATGTATCAGTGTTCTCAGTGGTCGATTTACATTTAAATTATTTTGATGTCCATTTGATCTTGTACGAATGATGGGAAGCCGTGTTTTGTTGATCACAATTAGTAAAAAGGTAGGACTGCGACGTATAAAAAGAAAGCCCTTCAGCTTTTGCACGCTAGAAGTTTTTAGCTGCGGGATATATAGCAGCTCAACAATTCATCATGTATCTCCGTTAGTCCGTTAGTTAGTAATATTGCTCGTACATATTTCGACCGATTCCAACCAAACTTTGTCAAAAGTATCAGTAGCCCAGCCCCAACATGTCACATGACCAAACTGAAGTCAAAGGTCATCATGGGGTCACTGGGGTCAAAAACGTTTTTTTTTTTTTTTTTTAAATCAAAACACTACTTCCAGAAATTACATGCACAATCGCGTGATTCATCATGAACACGAATTCGTTGGCCCGCAGCTTCCGAGATCAGATCGAGCTTGTATATTTATATTTCGTGAAGAAATGAAAGCATATCAGCTCCTTACAATTACCGAATAGGATTACCCTGTACAGTGGCGTAGCCACGGGGGGCGTGGGGGGGGGCGACAGCCAGTCACCCCCCCCCCCCCCCCACTGAGATTTTGAGTTTCTAAAAAAATTATCATTGATCTACATGACGCCCCCCCCCCATGAAATGTTCCAGCCCCCCCCCCCCAGCGGCCCCCCCCCCCTGAAAAAATCCTGGCTACGCCACTGACCCTGTATAGTATAAGTAGTATTACTCTGCCCCGCCGTTATCCAATGCTACGATAGAAAACAAATTGAATATTGCCCGCTTTAAAGAGCGTCCCCATTACTAAGATCTTATCCACCCCCCCCCCCCTCCCCGCCCCAATTTTTGAATTTGCTACATTCCAACGAACACAAAACCTGCAAAATGCTACTTACTACTCTTCGGGTCTGCTGCTCAGTTTCCTTGCTCCATTAATTCAGTGTTGTCGAACTCGTACTCGTACATGTACTCGTACTCGTACTCGTACACGTACTCGTACTCGTACTCGTACAGTTTTTGGGTACTCGTACTCGTGCTCATGAAAATGTACTCGTACTCGTACTCGCAAGAAAAATATTACCCGTTTCGTATTCGTACCCACTACAAAGTACTCGTAGTCATGATCTTGCAAATGTTCTCCCCCAAGAATGTAAAAAAAAAGGAGCTACACCACGCAGGAAAAGAACCAGTTTTGTACTGTTTTGTTTTGGGAGGTTTTTGCATTTGTTTCATGCCTACATGTAGTTTGATAGCAAAAAAGCCCTTCAAAGCACGTATAACACATTGAAATGTGATCCTACGTGGAAAGTTCTCATACTCACACTCGCACTCATACTCAAGTATTTTGTTTGGTACTCGTGGTCATAGAAATAAAGGCAGTCTACTGGTACTTGTAGGCCTACTCATGACAAAGTACTCGTACAGACTCATACTCGTACTCATGGCAAAGTACTCGCATGTACTGGACTTAACACTGTTGTATATAGACCGACCACAATAATTAGTCACTGCTGTACTACTGAGGTCTCAGGTGATGATAACAACCCATTAGCCTCAGCGAAAGAGCTACTACGGTGGCCCCAAGGCCAAGGCATGTCGGCAGATTTAACAGTGTTCTTGTTTATCTGCGTAATTAATCAGTTGTTCTGTGAAGACAATGATGTTGTATTGTTGCACAAGTCGAATACGCTTTTGAAAATGTATAGTGGAAGGTGATATTTCAAAAATTGAAACGGGGCTCACTACTTTTGTTGGAGACAGTATACCAGGGGCGGATCCAGGAATTTTTGCAGGGGGGGGGTGTTCAACAGCAAATCAATGCTGAAATGTAGACAGGTTATTTTTTTCTTCGGACATTTGGCCTCGATCCGTAAATGAATAGGGGAGGGAGGGGGGGGGGGGCTCGTACCATACTTTCAACGGGGGCGCTGTTCAAATCCGACGATCATGAGCACTATGTACAAATACCCCCGTGCCCCAGCTGGCTCTGTCCGAATGTTGTGCACAGGCGGACATTATAACCAGTATAATTGTCATATTTTTTTTGGTGTCACAGTAGGGGTAGGTTTTTTCACACTATTTTTAATTTATTTCTCTGAATTATTTTTTTGAGTCAGAACTTTTTTTCCGAAACCCACCCCCCCCCGATCAGCGCCTGAGTACCACAAATTGAGTCAATTTTAGGCACCTTTTCTATTTTTATGCTGTGCAAGAGTTGATTTTCAAGGGTGGAAATGATTGCCGCCACTACCGCTGATCCGGCCGCCTTCACTATCTGTAGTCTTCTTTCTTCAAAGCATTGTACATTTGGGCATCAACAGTCAGAGCGCATTGATAAATAACTTCATAAAAATAAGCAAAATATTCTCCTTTGAAAATTATTGGCGAACTGGGCTATTGCAGGTGATTTTTTTCGGGTGGGGGGGGGGGGTTAACACTTTTTGATGACATGAGTTTTGGACTTTTTGTGGACAATTTTTTTTTGGGGGGGAGTTTTTAGATATTGATAAACAATTTAGAGAACCTTTTTTGAATTGTCAGGGGAAAAGAAAATTTTGGTGAAGTGTTTTCAAATTTCAATTGAAAACTTTACATTGGTAAAATACAACAAGTGGTAAGAGAATATTGATATCCAAACCTTGTGTTTCTCAAGCTAAAGTCAAGGTTGAGTAGCATGCTAATCTGCGAAAAATAAAATGGTTGGTCAACAACGATGCCCGGTACACGAAAATATGTGGTTTGGAAATCATTCATACTACAAAACGCAAGTGAAACATCTTTGATTTCCTGACGTATCCACCTCAAGAGCAAAATTCGCTGCCTTCAATGCTGCATGGTTGAACGTGGCTTTTAAGAAGCGGTGCTAGAATTAAAAAAAAAATCTTCGTACATCTATACATTTGGTGAATCCATGAGTGATTGCCACACTTTTCAGAGAATATGAAACATGAACTGACACGAAATATGATGACTGGACCAGAATTTGTTGGGAAGCAATGGGTGTTGGCTAGTGGCGCACCCAGGATTTGTCTATGGCATTGGCATAAATGGCAAGGACTCACGCAGTCTTGCATCACAAGAGGGGTAAATTCGAAAACATCGGTCAGTTGACCCATAACGATTAGCGTAAGGATCCTTCTATGGTCAACCAGAGGAAGCACAAGATTTACTAATAATTTGCTACTGAATCACAACTCGGAATTTATTGTCAGTAGGCCTAACCAGTTTTGGTGCATGGATTTTGTGATTTTACGCATTGAAGGCGGTTTGAAAAAAAAAGACTGTTATATATGCATCTGGAAGCTTTAATATTTGAATGTGTACATTTGCGGATTTTGTGTGTGTTTCAAACATCTAATAAGGCCAAATGTCACTTTTTAATGGTGCCAACTGAAATATTTTTTAACCTTTAAAACCCCTCTTGGCGTCTTGCACAACAATAACATGAAATCTGTTCAGTATGACTTTTGCGACTCGTGATTAACTGACTGGGTGATTAGTAAATAATTTAAAAAAAAAAAACACTAAATACTGACAAAAATGCCAAATAGGCCTATCGAGCTATTACGTTTTTATGGCACGTACGGCATAATTTTGTGTTCTGTGCAAAACAGACAGTGAAATTCGAAGGATGAGTGCTATCCGAACGCTACATTAATGCATTGTTTCCCCAATAGGTACATGTACATTTTGTACATGCGTCTAATATAGTGGAGTTTATGTAAGCAGGCCAAACGGTGTGACCCTGTGATGCTGTGATCAAGCTACCATCAGGCTGGTTTCCCCACGGGAGGTAGCCATACCGCCTGACATACAAACAACGCGAAAATGTCAGCAGGCTCAAGCAAGCTACCCTGCTAGCTACATGGCTTACCGTACATAGCACGCGGTAGATAGCTGAACATGACCTAAAAACAAAACGACGCAGCCTATGAAAACTAATGGTTGTTCGCAGTCCGGCAAAAACCCAGAATTGCCACAGCGATTACTTTCGATTGAAGCATTCGAAGAAAATTACTTCGCTAGACAATGTTAAAGTTATGAAAATTCGCTGGGGCTGTATTTTCCCTTGAGAAACCACTAGACAGTTGGCAGAACAAAACTATTGAAAATCTGTGGTACTGGTAGTATGGTACGTGACGCGACGAAATAGGAGAGACTTGTAGATGGTTATCTGCGTCTTGTGTATATTTTATCTGAGATCTGGAAAGACGACTGTACTACGTGGAATCCAATGAAAGAAACCCAGCCAATTACTGGAGAGTGAGAAACAGGTACGAACCAATCACAGGGGGCGACACCTGAGCCATTTCCAGCCGAGCCATCATGCAGCAAGCTTGGTCACTCGCTTTTGTAGTTTGTGACGTATGCCATCTGGAGTTGTGGTGTTCGTGTTGACCCCTGAGCTTTCATTTTCTCGCAATTCAACACGAGCCGCTCCATCCATCCACCGTGGGCACCACTCAATCGCCGTGTGTGTGCAGGGTTTGCCCGTGGTTAGGGGTGCGCGTAACTGATGGAGACCGACTCGCAAACTGAGACGATAGATTCGGAATTGGAGCCGGCCATGAACACCTTGGAGTCAGATATCACCATCAGCAACGAGGCTGCTAGTGGTATTGAATCCACAGGCATGATCCAGGACTTGTTGAACAAGAGACCAAACATCGGTGTCAATCCCTGCACTGACACCGCCGCCGCCAACAACACCATGACGATCGCGGCAGAAGTCGGCGACAAGAGAGGGGTCAATGCCTTGTCCTTCTCGCAGCAGCAAATCATCTGTGTCTGCGAGGCGCTACTCCAGGAGGGGAACATGGAGAGGCTGGCCCGATTCCTGTGGACTCTGCCATCCGATGAGTCCCTCCAGACGAACGAGACGGTCCTGCGAGCCCGGGCCGCCGTGTGCCACCACCGGGGAAACCACAAGGAGATGTACACCATCCTACAGTCGTACAGCTTCAGTAGCGCCTTCCATCCGGAGTTACAAGACCTGTGGTACCGAGGCCATTACGGCGAGGCCGAGAAGTCCAGGGGACGTGGGCTGGGTGCCGTGGACAAGTACCGCATTCGCCGGAAGTACCCTCTCCCCAGAACCATCTGGGATGGCGAGGAAACAATCTACTGTTTCAAAGAGAAATCTCGGAACATGCTGAAGGAATTGTACCAGGTCAACAAGTACCCAACACCAGAGGAGAAGCGGAATCTGGCCAAGACGACAGGGTTAACACTGACCCAGGTCAGCAACTGGTTCAAGAATAGACGGCAGAGGGACAGGGCCCCAGCCGGTCTGTCCAAGGGGTAGGTCTTGCTCAGTTGCTGTTTTTCAAGGCTTTTTTCTTCATCATTTTTCATTTGTATTACCATAATTTATACAGGGGCATGGTTTACCCAGTCGGCATTAGTATAGTAGACTGACATGACTGAGGGCAGTATGAACAGGGTTAGCATAAAAAGGGGATGGGGGATGTTTGCACCACCATGGCGATACATAATCGTAAACTTTTGACATTATACTTAATAGTTTTATGAGCCCAACTTGATGTTTTCACAATTCAAGACAAAATATCCCGGGAACTGATTTTGTCTCTTTGTGTTTGTTTTTACTCTGACATGTCTGATTTTTGTGATTGAGGCTTGTGATTTTTCATGATTTGCCTCATGGGCCTAGGTTGGACAAAAGCTGTCTCAGTGAAAGTTGACATTTCGCCTACATGTAATTATAAGACAACTGCGTGAACAAATCAGAAATCGTTTGTTAAATAACGATTAAAAATTGTAAAGCTGAAGGGTACGAGTCGACTATACCCTCAATGCAATTCGTGTGGAACCATGACTCAAAATATAATTGCTCAAATGAGGGAAACCAAATTAATTTTAGATCTTTTATTACTGGTTAGTTCTTAGATATTGAATCTAAGCTAAACCTTGCGCATAAATATCGGACATGGGGACATTATTGGCTTTCTTTTCGGCGATAATTTGGCCACCCACTAAAATGCTTTTAACAATTTTGTCTACTTACCATCGTGGCTCGTGACGGTCTGCTCTCCCAAAAGTCCCAAGATGATTGCGATGCGACTATACCGCTTCACGCTAATGAATCTCACATGGCACGGTGTCAGTGGTCTGTTTATAATGCAATTAGACCGCAACAATACAATATCGGGCACTGTTTATTATGTATGCAACTGTAACACCTCTGGTCCACTGATACCATACCACAAAGAAGTCCTCAGATGATCAAGTTTTCTTTGAAAATATTATTTGAGTAGGGACTTTTTCCTCAAAAGAGTCACCTTTTGATCAAGGATGAAAAAATGGTATTGGTTTTGGTCCATTGCTTAGTGTGTTTCCTAAAAACGTTATGTCCAACGGGAATTCGGGTTACTTTTGAGTATTCCAGAACACTAAATTGTTTCTCTACTATTACCACAAGTGTATCTATTATCCTTTTTTTTTTAAAGATACAATTTCGACGAGATTTCTTTTCCCTATTCTGCGTTTGTTGTCCAAAATGGTTTTGCTACCTTTCGGGATCATCTTGAATACATTTGCAGCGATGATCCAATACCAAAAAATGGCCATATCGATTTCTGATCAATGCCTTTGTTAACTTGTCCCTGATTTTTTTCCTCAGGCAGGCATTTCCAAAGGAGCCCCTCACATTAAAATTACACTGGAAATAAAATAAACAAAGAAATTATAATTGCAAAAGTAGACAAGAAATTACACACACAGTTAACACAAAACATACAATATCAGTAAAAAAAAAAACTAACACGTGAGCAGCGAGAGCAATAAAAAAAACCACTTATTGCACTTACATACATACAAATCTGTTTAGTGAAAAAAAGAAGATTCTTGTTGCTGAACATCACGGGGGTCGTGGAGTCCCCCAATAAGACCTAGTATAAAAATCACATGTTGGGATAAAATTCTGCTTAGATTAAAAACAATGACAGTATTAATAGCTAAAAATATTACAGTAGTCCCCCTGATTACACCTGAAAAAAAATTAACGTGCTTAGATAAAAAATGTGAGGTTGTATAAAAAGAAATGCCATTTCATTCCTGCTAAAAATTACAAAAAAAGTCCCACCCAATACTTTGGTGGGACTTTGACAATGTACATCCAAAAGGTAGATAGCAACTTCGTATAAACGAAAATTTTAGCCTAGGAACCCAATTGTACGGATATTTCAGTGAAATGGGGAAAAAAGAGCTCAACTTTACGCGGCTGATAAGTTTTGAATCATACTTTTTCGGGGGGGAGGGTTACAGGACGCAATGCTGTTTACAATTGATTGGTTGTTTGAGGGATAATTGACTGGGGAGTAGGGGATGAGGAATGCGGAGCAACTCGGTACAAGTTTCTATGATTTGTCTATGGCTCAACCAAGCTGTCTTCATTCGGCACTTAGTTTAAATGGTTTAATCAGGTTAATTAGAACATCTTTAGCAAATCGATCAAATTTTTCTTTATATTAAAAGATTGAAGCAACTGCATACAGAAGTCAACACTGTGCTTTTAAGTTGGGTTTACTTGATTGTATAATTCGAAGATAAATGATCTAAAATGTGTTTTCTTTTTTTCACGATTATGCTAAAATAATGCACGTTTTAAATCGTGCAAAATCTATAACAAAATCATGACTACTTGAAGCTGAAATCATCTGTGATTCACGGACGATTTCAGCTGCTAGTAGTCATGGTTTTGTTATAGATTTTGCACGATTGAAAACATTGTGCTTATTTTAGCATAATAAAATTAGATTATTCCAAGAAAGGTAGGGCATAAACATTGTTAAACGTTATCACAAGAAATGTACATATTGACGCTGCCATTTGGCGTATGGCTCTAAATATAGGCTACATTTTGTCCCATCAGTTCTAATGAGAAACACATTGGAAAAGTACAAGTTGGCAGTCATGACTGTGTATCGATTTGTTCATAATTGTTCGTCAATTTGTTAATTTATCGTTAGAAATAGCCTTGAATCGGTCACGTTCGACCAAGGTTCTTAGAACAGAATTGCTCATAGAATGTTGCACATGTGACATTTCACTTTTGTGCATTTCACTTTTGAAGTTAAAGGTTGTGTATTTACTGCTTCAAATCACGATGCCTTTTGTCTGTAAAGCGATAGCTCATGTAGACCTTTTGTGCGCACAACACCTGCATTATTACGTGGAAGGTAGTCGTGTCTGCACTCTGCATACTATGTGCGGGGGCGTCGTCGGTTTGATTTGACGTTGTTTTAGAATCTCATTCCAGAGGTCAAAACTGCTGACCTTTTTGACCTTTGACTCGATCCCGGAGGTTCGTGGCCTATACCTCATAGCATCGTACATGTACATGTGTACATGTACATGTACATGTACTGTACGTGGCCCAGTCACAGCAGCTAGCAGAGCTGAGGATGTCAGTCAGAGAGAGAATCGAGTCGAAGGAAATCGAGAATTGGTGCCATCATGGTGCCACTGACCTCAGCGATGAACACCGGTATTTGTGCGGCTTCCTTTTATGTCTTCTTGTTGGAAAAAAAACTCCGGTGTAAAGTTATGGCGATGGTTCTCTATCTGTGTTTTGAGAACTTGTGCGTTTTTAAATTGTATATTGCAGTGTTTGAGGAACTAAAAACTCAGGAGAAAAACAGGTGTTATATTTCGTCAAATGGTGCCACATCGTTTTGTAAATAATATCAAATATCAAATATTTAATCATATTTATTTGATATTTGCTTACCAGTATGTAATATGCCCTGTTGGTGCTCACAGGAGGCTAATTTTTTTTAAGAACCGATCCACAGTTCCACCGTTCCACTATTATTTGCTCTACCTAAAACCATGAAGCTACCTATGGTCAGACAACTATGCCAATGCCTGTATAGTCTTTCGGTGATCTTAAGAATGGTCACAAGCACAATTTAATGGTGGTTACGTTGATTAGCTTTATTTATTTTTTTAACAGTAGTTTTCTGTCTCTTCACCGAGTTATTTCTAATTTCACACATGGTCATTCTGTTTATTCAAGTGAGATAGATTGGTTTAGGCCTACTTCATTTCCCAATAAACAATCCTGAGTTTCACTTCAATGCATAACTGGGCGTATCCTTGTTTCGAACTGTTTTATATTACCAAAGGCGTGAGCTGCTTAGTGAGCCCAAAAAAAATCGGCATAGCATATCACGCGGGCACCAACCATGCACCAACTCATAAAACACGGAATGGGGCACCGATGACAATTTGCCACAGCTATGCAACGGGGTTATGGTTCAAGGTTTTCTTCGGGGTTTTTTTTAAGAGTAAAATAAGATTCATATAAATTGTGTATTGCGGTCTGGAGGAGAGGTATAGACTACAGTACAAGAAAGATGATAGGTAACATTGCTATGCTAATCATTATTGACCCTCCCGCAGCCATTATGAAGTTAAAGGGGCTATGCTGGATGTTTGTTGCCCCAATCCTAACATTGTCAAAACTTTGCACGACTGGTTTGAGCATTTCTTTCCTTCTGTCATTTCGTGAATAATGCACCACTTTAGTCTCGGCATTTACAGCTTGAGACAATGGTCCCTCGACTGCATGCTGAGGAGGTGAAATATGCGTGTCTGGTTATCGTACCGCCATCGTTGTACTTGAGAAGCTATCATTCTAATGACGTACAGGGACGAATATTTTAAGAAAAGATGATAAAACAGCTGCAAGGCTGTAAAGACCCCCCCCCCAAAAAAAAAAAGAGAAAAAAAAGAGGGGACCAAAAAATCGAGAGAAGCAAAGAAATCTTGTAAGTTATTATATATTTTTTTATTTGGTTGGTTCACAATCTCCCCTCTGCTAAAAAAAAAAGGTGGAATCGTCGTAAAAACTGTGAACAATTTGTAAAGGAGTTAAAAGTACAAGTTCCTGTTTTAGAAAAATACCCAGAGAAGTATGTACATGTATCAGTAATCTACTTTTCTTTTACAAATTATACGTGATGGCACTAACGGGCTTTAATACCTGGCTGCTGTTAAAATCAGTATGGTCTGTTCATGCATAGAGCATGGAGAAATTCATGTACAGAAAAAACATCAATTTTTCTAGCAAGGGGCGATTCAGAATACTCATTGTTAAAAAAAATTCGATCTTTTTTCGAAATTGCTTGCACCCATTTTGATGTTAAAATGCTCAATGACTATCAACCCCAAGTCCCCAACACAAATACGCCCTACCCGTTCATGATCGGGTAAATCAGCTTGTATCCTATACACTGAAGAACAAAGTAATGCTTCAAATGAATCAGATACTTAAAGTCAATGCTCTCTCAGCTCATGAGTTTTCAATGGCTTTTCCAGGCTTCCAGCATGCAACTTTGTAGTTGAAACAGACACTATATTTAAATACTAAAAAAAAAGTTTATTTCCGCTTCGTTATTCTTAGCTTTTGCCGTGTATAAAAGACAGACATGACAGACGATTTTTTTTCGAAAGGCCGCTGCTTTTTTTCCTTCTTCTTGTATTATGATTTTCTATTAGCCTATACTTTTATTGAAAACTGTATTTCCTTTGACCCACCCACCCATAATTTCGCAAAAAAGATCGAAAGTTTTTAACATTGACTATTTTGAATGGCCTAAGGCTAGCCGGTTTTGAAGCACAACCTGATGGAATATGGTAAAGTTGATGGAACATTATGTTTTCATGTCTAAAACTGAAATAGAATTGCACATAAACCAGACACGAATACCTAGCAAAGCTAGCCCCATGGCGTACAAAATTCTATCCAGTTGATTCGGTATGGCTTAAAAGTTCGTAGGATAAACAGTTTCCAGAGCAGAGTAATTCACAAGTGACGGTCAGTCAGTGACAGAGGTAGCCAGTCTTATTCAAAAGTGTCAGTCAGTCAGTCAGTCAGTCAGAGAGTTAGTCATTGATTGAAATAGGCAGTCATGTGCAAAGAGAATACTAGCCTGACCCCTCTGGGACCAGGGGGAAAAATGGAGTTGCTGGGAAGAAATTGCTGAGGAGGATTCTACGCTTAAAAAGTTGACTGATACCTGTTCTCGAAGACCCATCCTTCTTTACCCTGATATTCGTGGACAAAAGTTTCCCAAAGTTTGCATGTTGCTATGGAAAAACAGGGAAAACCTTTATCAAAGGCCCATTCAATTATCACTCAAGTTATCACATAATTACACCCGCTAGGTAATCCACAATAAATGGCAAGAAAACCCCGAATGTATTTGAAAGTATGAAAGACACGGATTTTGTCAGGACTCGTGAAAAAAATCCCCACGGAATTTTACCAGGAAAATCGGCTAGCGCGTCGATATGTGAAATCCCCCTTCTACTTTGGAAATTATAGAGAGAATAGTGTTATGACTCCGATGCAGGAAGTTGAGCGACTTGAAGGATAATAAATAATGGTGGGTCTGGAAATCGAAACGTAAATAATTCAACAAGTAATGCTAAATGTTTTGGCGTTTGAAACCTGAAATGTCAGCAGTGTACTCATATCTGACCAGGAGATCAAGTTATTGATGCGTAGATATACTGACAGGTTAATGCTGTGAGGTGTTAGCCAACATGACTGTGTTTTGGCAGAGAGCGTTTCAAATTTTTAATTGTCGTTATTTAATTGGAGGGATTTTTGTTTCAAAAATTTGTATTTTCATGTCAATGTTCTTTCACATATTGGGAAGCGTGTTGATTTTTATAAAGTATTTGTCCGAAATGGTTATTGAGATTTATTTTGGCGTCTAAACTGTATGTTTTTGACTGTTGAATTAAACCTAGAAAATGGTAACCTACCAAATTGTGATCAAAAAGCTTACTTGGATTAAAGATCGTGTAACACCCCATGAAATTATTCCGTCTGACTTGCTGTCGTTTAGATGAAATCAATAAATGTAAGTAATTTAAAAAGATCAGTCAATTGCCTGATTTTTGGAATAAAGAGTGCTACATTGTGAGTCAAAAAGAAAGTGACCTGGATTAATGAAATGTTTTTTTCTTAAAAGCAATCAAATTTGATACACCAATGAAGCATGTCTTAAAAGAACATATTCTTCCACTCACCTGAAACACAAAAGAATTACTGACATTTATCCACGCTACCAGAAGTTGGGTGCATACCTATGTTCCCCAATACCGATGTTCCCCGAAATCCTTAGGGTTAAAGTTAGAGTAAGGATTTGGGGGAACATCGGTATATTGGCCCTTGGGGAACATAGGTATTGGGGAACATAGGTATGCACCCGTTTTAAGAAACTATTTTTTATAGCTGTCCATGGAATGCCATTGAAAGCTATTGAGATGAGTGAGAATTACAGATTACACACAGGCATTCAAATACAAATGAGATTTTAATGATGTGAGTAAAACGACTGAAACATTATTTTTACTGTTAGATTTGTTTTTTTAATATGGGAAACAGGTCAACTTTTTTTCTGAAATATTGATTGCGATTTTGAATGTTTTCCTTTGCAAGTTCTCGTTCATTCCTGGAGGTGGGAAAACGTCCATGTTTCATTGTATTTAATGGGTATTCGTCAGTTCGTAGAACGGTAAATGATAAGTTGTGGACAGCTGAATTTTGTGATCGTTTTATTAAAATAGACATAACTTGGGAGTAGAGTATGCAAATTACGTGAAATTTTCACAGTAACTAGGCAATAACATGTACTTTATCCCTATGTAATTTTTATAAAATGGGGCGCGCCACATATTTAGATAAAAAATCGAAATCGGTCACTTTCTTTATGACTCAACCTGTATTAACGACATCGTGTTTCGTGATCAAAAGTTTGTGTGTACTGTAATATCCACTGAGCTGAAATTTCAACAGGTTAGCTTTTGAACGTTCTTCTTTGGATTTTGAGTGATGTTATTATTGGAAACGAAGAAATTGTATGAAAAGCAAAAGATCCTAATTGTCTTTAAAGGAGAAACTATCACGACATCAAGAAATATTAGAAAATTCACGGTAACAGGCAGGGACTGAAGACCCGATTAACATGTCGGCCTGGGTGGAAATCGAATCCGGGTCACAGAGGTGGATGGCATGGAAAGTACCGCTCCGTCAACCTGACTTTGATTCTTTATCATATTTGTGGTTAGCCCAACAATAAACTGAAATCACATATAAACTTGTTCATTTTGTCAATTTGAAACTTGTTTTTTTTCTTCTGATAATGTCACTTTATAGTGATATCAGCTGTGCAGTATAAGGTGGGGTAGTCGGCCGATTAACTGGTCTGACATTGCAGCACAAACGGCAGAAGCCGGACTCGTTAAGGCCATGCCACACAGTCAATTCAATTTACAGATAATTTGTTTCAGGTAATCCCAAAGAAGAAAATGATAAGCATATTTTATTTCTCTGTTATGTCCTAAAGTATATACAAAAAAGAATAGTGGACTGTGTATCTTCCTAGGGGTTCAGTTACCTTGTAGCGCATGTCGTTGCCTCCAAGTCTTAAGACTTGGCCCTATGTAATGTTTAACCGCCACCATCAATTGGCTACAACCATGCAATATACATCGTTGTGGCCGGATTATGGATGTGTTAGGCCTTAAATCCCTTGACATAAACCAGGAGAGGGAGTACCACCGGTGCAAAACTGATTGCTGATACATATCATCTCCCAGATAATGCAATAAAAATTGGCTTTGTCCTCGGCTCCTCTGTTCCTGAAGGTTACTTTTAGGCCCCTGACTTTTTGGACTTTGGCTGGAGGCCTGTGGTCTGCCTCATGAACATTGGATCTAATCAGGCTCAAGTTAAGAGTTTGGTTTGAGCACTTAAAAGCTTTTAAGAAAAAACAATGATAGTAGAGCCAGAGCTTAAGCTTTATGAAGACTGTCCTTCGAACCCCTTCAGTTGTAGGTATCATACGTCAATGTACCACAGCAGCATGCAACAACTTTGTCCTGAGTAATTTTCACGGAACAAAAGTATAATGATGACTTTGCCGAAAGAAAATTCATCTGGATGGTTTGGAATGCAATACGATCTGTTTTGGTTTTCATATCAATTCCTCCGAGAGACAGGAGAGGACTCTGCAAATTTTCCTTCATTGGGTTTTGTTTAAAAAAGTACTTGAACACACAAATTTTTCATATCAGGTAAACCAACGTTCCTGTTCATAAATTGTGGACTGTTCCACTTTTTTTGTACGATACCTTTAGAACTGAAAATGTTGTACATGTACATGTACACTGTTGTCTTTTCCAACATATCACACTTATACATATACTTTTAAACGTACATTGTACTGAGTGGACAGTGCAAATTCTGTATACTTGTACAATGGCATGCATGACTAATACCTTTGCTGTGCTGAACGTACCGTTCCATACGTGTAAAATTACACAGTGTATGGAGGCCCTCGGCGGACATGCTTTTACGTGAAATAACTTCTAGTCAATGATAATGGGCTACGTTTTGATGCAGCGCGGCCCCCATATTCTGTATCACCTGATGTTCTGATTCATTTTTTCTCTTCTTTTTTTGTGTGAAAAGGGAAGAAGAACCCAACAACAACAACGTGCCCTCTGGAGTGGACAATGCAAAGAACAATAAATACCCCGTGCAAGCCCGGTTCTACGTGAACGAGGGGAACTACAACAACAACAACAGCGCCACCACGAGTCCATCTCGCGTGACGGCCAAAATCGTGACCCCTCCCGTCATGATGGTGACGACTCCAGTGAGTCCCGTCGGTTGCGAGGTGCCAGGGATCAAGACAGAGCCCGGGGTGCCCCCTACGACAACGAGCGCGTCCAACGATTTGACCCCTATGACAGATTTCCCCGCGCTGGGCTTCAAGTTCCTGCATGATTTGGCAGTCATACAGCAAGTGGTCCCGGTGGGTTTGGGTTCGGGACCCGGGGAGGCGGGGACTTCGGCAAGCAACCCCCTGGGCACGATGCTTGTGAACTCGTCAACCCTCCTCGGTCCTGCTGCTTGTGGCAGGGGGCAACCTGCATACCAAGTACCATCCCTGAGTATGGCGCAGCCCCTCCCCTTCACCCTCTCGCCCGCCGCTGCGGCCCAGCTGATCGAGTCTGTGGCGACTGGCTACAGCAACGCAAGCTCAACAACCCCGTGCACATACGTCAGCAGCGGCAGGTCACCTGCCAACGGTCCAGGTGTCAGTCGGCCTACTGCCGCCGTCGACGGCGTCAGTGCAGATATGGAAATTGACGAGAATGCGACAGCCAAACCTCAAAGAGTCGTCAAGCCATCCATGCCATCGAAAATCACCACAACGGCATCAGGATAGCCTGAAGCTACATGTATAATGCTTACAACGACATCCCATCTGATCTTTTGACGAAGAAACGGACTTCATCAACGTAAATACTACAGCCCATACTAAAATAAGATCACGTAAATACCACAGCCAGGGTATAAAAACTACTTAAAGGTTTCACTATAAGGATTGGACAATGACTTACCGTCTCACAAAAAGCAACTTTAAACTTCGTCAGTAGGCGTTGCCCTTATTTCCCGACAAAGGCAATAGTGTTTTGTTAACCGTCTTTGAAAATAAATGTATTAAGGAGACAGTGTCATATTACAGACATACTCAAGTTACGCAACTAACTGTTAAATTCTTTGCCTGAACATTATTTGAGATTTGTGACTTAAATTTGGTTTTTGACTCCTTCCTTTGACCGCCCTTTAAGCCATCCTTCACTATCCACCAGTACATTCCTCCCATGCATGTAGCATGCAGCCACAAAAGAGTGACTATTTTTTATAAAAGATCATAAAAAGAAATTGTATTTTATACACAAAATTGTTGCTTCATATACCAAAGGGAAATTGATTATGCCTGTAATGACGAGTGATGCCTTTACGTTGATTTTTGTTTTCATAATTTAGCTTGTTAAAACTGTACGTCATATACGTGTGCTCATTATCAACAGAGACCTGTAGAAATGCGGTAGATAATGTAGAAATTTAGAAGCCAAATATATCATCCATATTGTTTCCAGTAAATTGTCAACTGTGTGCATCATATCACTTATTGTTTTACCATGAGCGGAGCTTATACACAAATACAGATTTCTCGGCAGAAACACAGTTTTCACGACTCATGAAGCAATAACGCATTTCGTTGTAATGTTCTTTCCCGTGTGTATACTTGCGCGGTCAGATCAGTTGGAACGTTTGCACATTTTACACCACCGATGAAAAAATTGGGATTTTTTTCATATAGGCCTTATTAATTAAAACAGTAATTTTGTAACAAGGACATTCATATTGTCTTGTAAATGTCTGTCCTAAAGTACATGTAGTTATAACAGTTTGGGTTTTGACTGCAGGACACGTCCATGAGAGGAATTTCAAATTGGCACTGAAACCGAGGGCCTCAGTGTTGTCTTTGATGAGAGGATTGAAACAAGCACAGAAAGGTTCTTAATTATACAATGGCTTAACACTAAGGGCCTCAGTATCAATGCTACCGGTGGTCAATTTACATGTACACGTAGCATCATGTGCAGTGTTTGATTGACCGCAGCATTTGCAGTGTTTGATCAAAAAGTGATACAAAACTCCTGTAAAAATTCAAAGGCACTTTTGAAAAAAGGAAAATGTAATATGATTGTAGCCACTCAACCACCCTCTTTTGAAGGAAGGGGTATTGTCCTGTACACAAAATTATCTTAATCGTGTTTCAGTGTTTCTTTATCAATAAATTGCTTTTTGTTTTTGGTCACCGGCCAAAAAAAAAAAGATTACAATAATACACCAACCTAAAAGAAATGTCGGTCGAAGCCATTCACCTCAAGAGAGCTTGGTATAAACGTAAACACGTCATGCAACATTTCCAGTTATTAGCTACTGACGTTGGCAGTTGCCGCGGGGAAGAGGGAACGCACAACGGCGTAGTGAGAGGCTCGTTGCGGCCAGTAATCAGCGGGGTAGTATACAGGGCCTATACACAAGCCAGCGATGAGCATGGTTTCCTTCAAGCCGGATCCGCTCTGATACATCCTGATGGCTGGTGGGTTCCACCCATCACGCTGATTATCCGCGGACTCCTCATCTTCGCCGCTCTGAGACGGTGCCTTAGGCCGGGATTAGAGCCGCACAGCAGGTAGCCATTTTGGCGGCGAGCCTCGGCGTGCTTTTGTTTTTCAGGTGCGCGCATTCGGCAGTCGGTAGCATAGATATAGAATAAGGTCGGTAGTGTTCTTTTTTGAACGCCTGAACCGTTCGGTCATTCCCACCTTATGCTGAATATTAGAAACAGCGTTTTGGGTTGTTTTTTTTCATGCCAAAATCAGAGCACATGCGACTTTCACAACTGATATTAAAGGGAAATGAATGTCTTCGTTTCTATATACACTGATGAAAGCGTTGAAGTCTGTTGCCCGTCCCTTTCCCGCCCTTTCCATCTATTGCAAACACAATGCGATAATAATAATAATAATAACAATTTGTACATTTATATTGGGCAAATTCCATAAGAATTATAATAATTAATTATAATAATTAATAATAATACCGGAGTCTTATATAGCGCACTTATTTACTCCAGGCGCTGGAAATTATGTCTGGAAATTAGGTAAATGAAGTTTATGAGAAATATGAGACCCATTATGTAGCACCTTATAAGGGTTTACAAGGTGCTGCGGTGCATATTGCAGCCACTGCCACAAAGACGGGGGCAAACTCCTTCTCTTAGCGATAAGTGTTACTGGGTTCTTTAACGTGCATTACACAACACACGGGACCTACGGCTTTACGTCCCATCCGAAGGACGAAGCAATAATGGTAAAGTGTCTTGCTGAAGAGCACAAGCACCATGTTCCCACGGTCAGGATTCGAACCCATGTACCACGGCACACGAGTCGAACACCGTAACCATTGGACCACAGCACCCTGTTCATCAAAAATGAGACCCTGCAGCAGCTCGAGATCCGAGCAATATGGTCTCTACCTCCACAGGTACCCATTTATACTCCTGGGCGGAGAGAGGCAATCGTAGTAAAGTGCCTTGCCCAAGCGCACAAGCATTATGTTCCTTGTACCACGGCACACGAGTCGAACGCCGTAACCATTGTACCACAGCACCCCACATAGGCCTGTTCAAAGATCACATACTGAAAAGTATGTTTGGACGAAGAAAATCGCTTGTAAGATTAAGAAAAAGGATCAGCAGTCAATACATCTACCAGCATGCAATATAACATTAAATTAAATTTAGCTTGGAGTCACTATTTAGTCTAAGCGGGGATGATGTGGCTGGAAGTAAAACTATTGAACACAATCGGATATTTACCTCAGAATTTGGACGGGTTCTCTTTTCCGTCAGGTTACACCGATAAAAGTTAAAGTGATGTTCCTGTGGTGAATTTTTTTTTTCATAAACGAGAGAGAGGCGCTCATAACAATCTAGCCCTCATCTTGGCACACTGATCTGTCCAATGCAACGATATAAGTAACATTTGCCTCAAAGTATTGCCATCACTTGGGCACTGCCATTGTTGTTTGGTTAACAAAATGAAATGATATTTTGCTTGATGACTCGCGTTAAACAAAATAATTATACCGGCATATCCGTTGCTAAATAAATTATGTTACGGAGTGATACTACCATCATTTCTGCAGTAAAACTCATGCATTGCCATTTATCACGCACGAAATAAGATCAGTACAAATAATAACTGTGAAAATACACTTTTTTATTGAATGAAAAATCCTCTTTAAGAAAACCATTGACCAAAAAAGCCATCGTGCTTATCGGTACACTGCTCACCACCAAACTAGGCTGGTTCTCGTCCGCGATCAGTCAGAGGCTGATTATGGCGGGACCGGAAACCAATCGTATCTATGACACCCCCTCCCCCCCCCCCCCCAAAGATCCATGGGCATGCATCGTACAAGGGTTGTACAACAGCCTACAATCACAGGCAAGATGTTCCGGTTTAACTTGGCCACTCACTTGATTGACTTTCAACATGTCATCAACTGCCTTAGGACGATTTTTTGAGGGGGGGGGGGGCAGTTTGAAGAAGACCTGGTAAATAAACTGCCATAAAGACCTCAGCGATATACGCCCACTTCCGAAATTCAGGAAAAATACAACTCTCCAAGGTGTTAATAGAAACACAACAAATTAAAGCTTATTTCACTTTCTGTTCCATTTTTGTTTGGGTAATCCAATAACTTTGGGAGACTTTTCGATCCAAAGATGATCAAAAAGTAGTCCTGAAGCCCATAGCCATTTTTGAAAAATAAAACATGCCTACGCGCGCTCCATTGCAAAATAGAGCAATTTTGGGCCCAATTTCATCGAAGTTTCACAAAAATACGAGCTCGCAGTCGGCTTCCACCCTTAATTTTTACAAATCTATGGCCCACAAAATGCTCTATAGCAGAACAAGGGCATTCAAATCGTGGTTTTGCGTGGCGTATAGGCAAGTTACTGGCCTAGAACCTTAAGCTTTCAACAGACTAACACTAATCGACAATCAAGGAAAACATTTTTCCTAGGCGATATTGCGTTAAACTTCCCATTTTCACATGTTACTCGTGACAAAATGTAAGGTTGGCACATGCAGAGCTGGAGTAACTCCAATACAAAAAATCGTTTGTTCCTCTCAGTTCAACCCAAAGAATAGCACGGAATATATATCAGAAATTATGGACGATTTCGGCTTAAATCTGTTCGCACTATTTCCCAGATTTAATAATCCGATCACATTATTGCACAACCAAGTCTAAGTCACCAATCGTCATTCTTTTTTCTAATATAAACTAAAATATCTATCAAGAAACAAAGTAGGTAGTCAAGGTGTTTGTTGGAGAAAAAAATGCTGAAAGCAGCGCAGCAGTCAACTGTTGCTTTGACCGTACTGCACGTATGGAATTAGGGTAGTGACCTGATTATAACGCCGATCTGTCTTTTTTTCAAGAGGCGTCTCACCAGGTATGGTTCCCGGAATCAATTGTCAGGAAATGTTCCAGAGAAACATCCGTCACACGGGAGGGAACGGTCCACTGGTCTCCGGATAGCGTGCCTCAGAATTCTGAAAATATTGGTCAAAACAAACCAACCCACCAAACCACAAGACAAAAACAATCGTTAACCAGCAGACTATACAACCTGCCCACGCACGCAAAAGAAATGAACCAATCATGACTGTATGTAAACATTTAACTTGCAAAGCCAGCCCTTCCACCCATCCGCAGTGCTTCAAAATATTAATGCAGTGCCCACCAACCACTATTGGCTCAATGATGGGGAAGGGGTGGCGCTATAATGACCTCAACAAAATGAAGAAAAAAGGGGGGATCAACCTATATCAACACAACCATCTATACCTACCAACAAGTAGACCAACAATCCGACCAATTGACCAACCAACCATCGCCAGCAAACCTCCCAAGGACCCAAGCTAGCAAATAAGCCAAAAGTTGGCAGAGGCAACAAGCACACACCAAATCAGAAAGTAAGCAACTAATCACCTACTCAGCCATCAACCAAACAGCGTTAACCAACTATACAAGCGCAGCAACCAAGGTTCCATTGAGAGACGAACCTACCGACCAACCAACCAACCAACAAGCAATTAAGCAACCAATCAACTAATCTATAAAAACAACTTGCCCACCAACCCACCGACCCGAGAAACAATGAACCGACCACTCAGCAAGCAAACAATCAACTAACCAATTCACCAACCCCACTAGTTCATGGGCTAGGGGAGGGGGGAGCAGAACCCTCCACCCCCTGTATTTTCCTAATCCTTGGCATGTCCCCAGTAGGGAAACAGATGTTTATACTGAAAATTGGAATAGCTCTTTCGAAAAACTATTTTTGGTTGCCATGGAAACCAAGTATAGATGGCGTTAGGGTCAAACTAAATGCGTTTTTATTTTGAAAATTATCGAAAAAGTATTATCTTTAGTCATTGTATAAATTTCACTGTTCATCTTGAAAGCCACCATATCTTAAAATAGCACCTAATTGATTATTATCCAAGTACTGATGAACTAATTTGAGAGTCAGGTCTTGGCAAATTGAAATGTAAAATGTAGATGATCAGTGAGGTACCAGTGTTGTGAATGAAGTCTTGTAGAAGGTTGTCAAGGGTATAGGAGATCCATTAGCTGACTAAGGTGGGGGAACTAAGCTGTCCTTAGGTATAGACGACCCGTTGGACTGTCTTCAGAGGATGGAGGGATGGAGGAACCAATGTCTTTGGGGTACCTTGCAGTGGTTGCATATTTCGATGATCTCTTTCTGATGCTGCATGGAACCAGTACCAGTTGATCCGCTGGACTTCAGTGTGAGAGTACTCGACTATGAAGTACGTGCGCCTTTCATGTGGTATTTTGGTTGGGAGGTCCAACAGCATACAAGGTTTGGTAGCACTGTGTCAGAAATCTCACAGAGGCGGCACTCCCTTACTGACTGGTTCTGTTCGGCACGTCCCAACTCCTTTCCCTGCTCAATTTTGTCCGTTCATCACGGACAACGGTCTGCTTCCTGCAATAGATCTCTTGATTTTGCTCAGCTTTACCTGGATGAAGCAGGTATAGCTCATCAAGGGCGGATCCAGAACACAATTTTTTTTTGGGGGGGGGGGGGCCAACAAAAATTTTGGTCCCCCAAAAACGTGGGTCAACAAAATTACGGCGTGGGGTTCGGGGCCCAATTCTAGATGCTCTGTGGTGCGATCTGAGGCAATTTCTGACCACTTTAACCAATGTTTTTTTGAGGAAAAGATGGTGGTGTACTCATTGCCTGCCTTTATTGCGATGTCACATAAAAAAAAAAAAAAAATTGGTTTCGTTTGGGGGGGGGGGGGGGGCTCATGGCCCCCTTTGGTCCCCCCCCCCCGGATCCGCCCTTGTAGCTCATACTGATCAGTATCTCCAGGTGACTGTTGGTCTCCTGCATCCGATTGGGGAGGTTGGAGGCCACTACGACCCTCTCATGGTCTTGTGCAACAGAAGTAGGAGTAAGGGGATGTCACTACCTGTCTCGTAGATGTAGGCTACACTTTGTTACAATGGCACATGATGCTGTAGACTCTTGGTCTGAACTTTTGATCTTGCTGGTTCTTGTAAGATTGCAGCAGGTTGTGGACGGTACTGTGTAAAAACTTGATGCAAGGTTTGTGGGTGTTTAATATAGGCCCAAGTCATTCTGAAGTTGGTCAAATTTCAACTCTCATAGTGTAACAGTAGTTTTGATAATCCAAAAGAAAATGCTGTTTTCAGATTTGGTGGCTTTCAAGATGAACAGTTAAAACTGTAATGAAGTTTTTTTTCCAGATAATTTTCAAAATAAATATGTATATATGTATTTCGTTTAACTATAGCGCCCTCTTTAGTTGGTTACCATGGCATTTCAAAAGACCTACACGAAGATTACTCGTGCCAAGTTTGAGTAAGATCGGTCAAGGTGTGATCAGCTTATGGAGTTTTTTTCTTCTTTAACCTTGTGCCAAGAAAATGCATCTAAGCTCAATCAGAAGGGGGTCCTATAAGTGGGCTCCTGAGAGAGTGCTTCCCCAAGTCTTCTGTTAACATTTTATTTTTTTCCTTTTTAGGGTCCTTGCCAAGAATTAACCAAATGAAATACCGGTGGCGAAGGGTTCTAGGGGAGGGGGGGGGGGTTGTGTTCACTGGGACCATCATATCGACGGTCAGCCAGCCAACCCACACTAATCGACTATAACCAACCACCCAGCGAGCAAACATGTAGGCCTACATCATCAAGCAGCATAAAAGCAACTCCCAACCATGACCCACCAAACACACCAACCCATTCACCCACTGTTACATCATGGAGCAGAAAGATGCCTGTATGAGATTACACAATGTAGTTCATCGTGAACTGGTTTGACAAGTTCAAGACGTTTCTATACAAGACGTGTCAGTCAGGTAAGATGGCGTCGTTCGTCACCCCAACTGTACTTTCTTTGCCGGTGAGGGGGGACTTGTGAATGAACAGAGCGGATAGGGGCGCTCGGGGTCGAGAAAGAATAGGTCGGGCCGTGATGTGTGGTAATTCGCCTGTTATGGGAACTTGATATGTAATTTTTATGTTTCCTCTTAGGCCGAGGGACTACGTTGTTATTTTTTTCATATGTGAAATATGACGGGAAATAAACTCTCCACACGCACTGCAATCGACAAAACCGCGGAAACGTGGGCTGGAATTGAAATTTCCTTTTGCATTTGATTCCTCCAAAAGTCATTTTACCGCTTCAGTATGGTAACACTGAATTTAAGGTTTTCCAAACTTAAATGGGAGTTTGATACATGTTACACTATAGCAAATAAGACTGGGGGGGGGGGTCATTTAAAATCTAGAATATGATTCGAAACAAGCATGACACTTCAGGGGGTTCAGTGATGCCTTGTGCGTAGCAACAAAGCTTTCGTATTCGGGAACTGTATTCCTGTATTTGCTGATACCAGGCCGGTTACTGGATCATATTTTTGTCATGTTATTTCGGGAACGATACCTTGAGAATGGAGAGCGGGATTTCTGTTATTGTCCTTGAAAGCATTATACATCCAATATACTCGGCAGTTAGTTACAACTAGCCAATGAAACAACAATTGATTGCATAAATTACATATTATAACAGTCTACGATTCAGCATAACCACAAATAATAACAAAACATTCAAATATTCATAGATTTATGTTTCATTCAGAGATGTCATTTATTTCATACAGCATTCTACTCTGTAAGCAAGTGCTAAAAACAGCCTGTATTTACAAAGCACTGCCGACGTCACTGATGCAGCATTTCCATTTGTCATATATGCAATATCTAGCTTATTATTCAATAACTCACGTGTAACCTACACTTTTCTTTCCCGAATACAGAAAGCAAATGTCTTCAAAATTGCGAATTTAAATTATTAGCAGAAATCACTTCTGAAGCCAACTACATGTATGGTGTTCCGCATGGTAATTGTGGTATGCCTAAAATTTGCACATTTCAATATTTACAGCTGGGACTTGATTCTTTCGTTCCTTCAAAATATTTTATGCCAAATTTGGGCCTTGAATGATAGGCAAGCGTAACACTAGAAGGTGCTCGAGTAACTTGCATACGTCTTGGACAATTAACTTTCTACTTTATAATCAGATGTGTCGCAGAAGAGAGCTGATTATGAATATCTGCTTGAGTCCACATGGACAACTATATAAACAGTAAAGCAAAACATAAAAAAACCAAGTCCAAAATGCTTTGTGGCTTAGCTGATACGGAATCTGCGGGAACTGTTGATGGGTTATATATGATGTACCCATAAAGCCAGTGAAAAATACACAGTGCACTGCACGCATACATGCACCAGGAAAAGCACACAACCAACTTTCAACTGAATGTGTGCAAATCAATGGGGTCTTTGCATGGCAGTAATGAGTATGCACCTTAGTTTTACAGCTGGGGCAGTCATGGTATTGTAATGGGTTGTGCACTTTCTAGTGTTACTACGAATTGCAAGTATTACAGTCCTGTGTATTTCAGATCATAGATGTAGGTGTACATACAATAGTCACTGTCAGCTCTCTCCTCGGTCAAGTGTGAAGTACACTTCCCTACTGTATCATAATTATACATGTATATAACTTTTGACAACTTAAGCTAAGATAAGATGACTGAAATATGGCATCACTTTCTTTAGAAAGTGATGCCATATCTGCTCGAGCCCACATGGACAACTATATAAACAGTAAAGCAAAATATGTGAAAATGAACCCAATGGAATAACAGCAGCACAGTACAGGCACGTACTGCAGTGTATTTGTCTTTCGAATGCCTGAAACGTCTTGGATAAAGCTGAGCTTCATAATTCCAAATCAATAACTTGAACTTAGGAATACCGTACTTGTGCTTTACCAACTGAACAATCAATAGTAATAATAATTGTGCTTATATCAAGTCTACCAGTAGGCAGTTTGTTTAAGTGAGACTGTCAACGAGGGTGAGATGACTTAGTTGTTAGCTCGTACAATGTTAAAAAAAAATCTTCAAGACTTTTTTTTCCTTCCGACAAATGTTGATTCCAAGTAAATCTCGTCACTTTTCCACATGTATTGCATAATAGTATAGGTGGGCGCAGACATCTGAGATTTTTTTTTCTACATAGGCTTATCTAGCTCCCAGACCCATGTTCTTGAACCTCAATGGTTCTCGAGTCTGGAGTGTTGAATGGGCAACACACAGCAACCGATGAAAACTGAATGCAAATGAATAGATGTTTTCATCGGATGACGTCAGCCCGCCCCCACCTACTGTGTGAGACCCTTTAATGTTGGCCTCAAAATTACAAAAAACGAAAGACCTAAACTTAGGGAAATTAATTATCAGGTTATTGCTTTTCTGAACTTTGGTTCATTCTTTTTGTTCTTGCTTTATTTTTGGGAGTGGGGCAAAATAGGCATAAGAGAGCCTTGGATTGCCATTACCAGAAAGATTACTATTAGATTGACAGCAAGCCAGCATTCAGAGCAACTTGTATACTTATATCAGGGATGTAAGTGGACTCCGACAATTGTGCCTGAAATTTTGATTTATAGACGAATCTGGGCACGTGATCACTGTAAACTCATGAGGCCCCCTTCAATGGAGAAACCAAACCATTGTGCATGCTAATGTACAAAGAAACTGCCCTGCGACATATTATCTGAACACTAGCAAGCACAATGCTTTTGTCATTCAAGGGGGCCTTTGTGATAGAATTGATAGCGTGCCCAGATTGCTTTACAAGTGCGGTCTCAGTATGTTACAATTTGAAAAAAGCCTGAAATCAAGCAATTGCAGAGTACTTACATCCCTGTTTTACAAACATACATATACCTGCAAATCTGAAAGATTACCATGCTCACGAATAGCTTCAATACCTGTACTGCGCAGGGCGCGGTGAGTATGAACGGGAACGGGAGCGCCCCCTAGCTGGCGAGTACCTGTCGCGTCCAGATCCTGGAATAAAACAAAAAACACATGTCAAGAAAACATGTCCAATACAGGCATGGTCAGGAAGGCATTTACAGACTGATGGAACTCTGGATGGATGCTGCTTGGTCCATGCACAAGGGCCACGTAGGCTAGATTGTGTTTGCATACTGGGTTATGCCAGTCAAAAGGGCAGTGTGCATGGCCAATGCTCAACCAAATGCACACTGTGCCTGGATACTGTAATGTCAATGGTCACATGTCTAGACAATAAAAATGCATGTCACACACTGAGGGTGATATAGCATTGCGTTCATTGCGCGCGCAATGAGAACTGCAACGTCAAACGCTCAGTCTCATGTCCGGCAGGACATCAAAACCTTCCCTCATCAAAGGTTACATCGCAGTGATTTAATATTATTTCTCACACAGCAAGTAACGACCATTTAAATTTTTGAGTTATTGGCACGATTTAAGAAGACTGCTGTGATGTGGGATATGCCTTTTTTTTATCCCCTTGGGACGCATAACACCCGAGGGGTGCATATTCACCTCGGGTGCTATGAGCCCCAAGGGGGTTAAAAACGGAATATCCCACATCACAGCAGTCAACAATTTGTTCAAAATTGTTGCAGTCAATAACTTCCATGCTTAGCACATTTCTGTGCTTAACAGCTCCACGAAATTGGCCCCAGACCACAGGTGCATGGTGAAATAAGCGCTTTAGGCGCTGCATGGTCCCCAGTTGACACTAATGAGCAAATTTGATCAAGGTGGCTTGTTTATGACATACCTTAGGCTTGCGCAAGTGCAAATGTGCATATACATCCCTATTTCCATTACAAACATCATCAGGTAAGCCATTATTTATTGAAAGTCGCACATAAGGGCAGCTCAGAATAAAAAATTGCTGTGCACTTCGATTAGCCTGAAGAGGAACATACAGCCCTTCCAAAATGACAAGTTAAGCAGTTTTTGTTCTCAAACTCGCCATGAAGACACATTGTGCCACATCAAAATTCTCCACCTCACTGATTTTCCACCGCACAAACTTACAAGGCCTTATTTGTTCGTTTGCAACAATTTACAAAACCAATTTTAGTTCCTTAGATCTCAAAAGCCCAAAAGAAAGCGAAAAACATGCAAACAAAAACAGAGAAAGATGCATTGGGACATGGCACTTGAATACAAATACCCAAAGTGCCATGAAACAAACAAGACACGCAGTAACAGAATAGCCCTTAATTCCCGTTCCCCAAAAGATGTCCATTCAGGCTCTACTTGCGCCCAAGCAAAGTCTATGGTTGGCTTCTTATGAGCTTCTCCAGCGTGCTGCTTTTTATTCTTGTTGTTTGGTAGGAAAAATTAAACAGAGAAAGCCTACTGCGTCTGCGCTCGGGGGATCTGGAGCGGCTGCGGGACCGAGGAGGGTTGTGGGCCCGCCCCCGCCAAGCCTTCTCGCTCCTGTCTCGGTCTCTCCTTTCTTGCTCCTTGTAGCGGAACTGGCGTGTCATCTCGCGGAGTTCTTCTTCGCGTTCCTGGATTGATGCAAACAGAAGTAGTAACACTGCTGAGTTGAAGCAGTCGAGTGTTTCACATAAGTCCTTCAATCTCAAGTCAAGTCACAGAATGTTCAAATGAACTTTGGCAAAGCTTTCTATACCTTCTCGATGCTCATTCTTTCTTTCTTACAATCTTCTTTGTCTGACGATTTGACACGTGATAAACTCGACTACAATTCTGCAAAATGTGACTTTGTCCAACTAGGCCACATGCCAAAATAATACTTTATCATCTAATACTGTGACGGAAATAACATACATTACCTGAGAAAAGCACACCAGCTCCGACAAAGTTTCAGCACAAAAACTTCCATATTCAAAAGTAAGATTTGACTTTGGTAATATTCTCTTAACTGGCTAATATTATGTTAATACACAAAAAATATTGTCAAGCAAACCAAAACAAACACGAACTGATATAAAATAGCTAACATGAACCCCTGATGCATCCACTTTAAAACATTCAATTCTCTTACCATCTGTTCTTGTTCTTTCGCAGACTGTTTCTGATTCTGTTTTATTTTGTCTGCTTTATCTGTGGAAAAAAAAGAGTACATCAAAAATTCAGAACTAGGTTTGGGCGGTTCCAATCTTTCTGGAGCCGGTTCCGGTTCTCTAAAAAGAGCCGGTTCCGAGTCGGAACCGGCTCCCGAAAATTCAATGAAAAACATAAGCTCTTGAAATTACATGTAAAGAATAATAACAGTTTCACCTTTTGAGGTCCGTGTTCCGTGGATTTCGATGTGGAGTACATGATTGAATATTCCACGTATCTGGTTTCAAATCATGAATTTTTCCTGTAAAACTATTTTTGAAAGCTAGCTTAGCGTTTATTACTTTATTCTCTGTTCCTTGCCTGTGATTTTATTTACCACGAAGACCGCCATGGCGTCGAGAATAGAATTATTCACTTCACAAATCACGTACACGAACACTGGTACCCTGCGTTCAGTGTACATTGCACAACTACATGTACTGTAGTGTGGAACCGGCCGAGTGCTGGAATCGGCTCTGATGGACCCGGGTAAAAAATACCCGGCTCTGAACTGAACGAGTCATGGATCGGACAGTCCGGACTCCGGATCTCACAGGCTTAAGGTGCATGAACAATGAACATGAGCATTATTATCTTGCAGCCCACATGTTTAGTGCGTAACTGCAGCGACATTTCATTTTTAACCATGTGCAAAAGGCACCGATCAACCAAAGCGAAGGATTAATTCATTTTCAAGCAACGGTATACGTGACGTGACCTAATTGGAGCCGACTACTTTGTACATAGGCCTATACATGCATGTGGTACCCGGGCACGGATCCGCAGAGCCGATTCCCGCGGCACTCGGAGCCGGGTCGATCAGAGCCGATTCCAGAGCATAGAAATGGGACTCCTGTGAAAATCGGACTCCTTGTTCGTTTTATTGGTTAAACCCTCTCACGTGATCGGTCATTTTCCTAATTATCTATGCATGACATGTGCATTCCCTCCTTTGAGTCCGTATTTCATAAAACCTAAAACACTTCACATCACAAACACTATCCATCGTACAGGGCCAGTACTGGATTCAATGCTCTATATGCACACCTCGTGGCCGACCGCAAACTCAAACAGGGCTCTGTTGAGCTGTTTGTCTCCGACTCGTGAAATACAACATGTATTGTTTTGACTAGTGAATGTCCAGGGCCACCCCTCCGCGATTGATTTCCTGTGGAGCCGATTCTCGGCATTGGATTTTGTGCACAAAAAATAGGTAATTTAATCTGGAACCGATTCTTTTGGGCCCAGAACCGACGATAGCGGGTACCCGGTTCTTGAAAATATTGGACTCGCGGTTCCGGTTCCCATATTGGAACTGGTTAGAACCGGGGAACCGCCGGAACCGCGCAAGCCTTTTCAGAACTAAAGTTACTACATGTAATTGGCTTAAAGGCAATATACAACATTTGCAAACGTACAAAAAACATAACTTGAAAATAATTTTGAAATACACGTACATCTTACTTGACTGTAATTGAATAAAAGTCTCAAACATCCTGTGAAATTATGGCACCCTGTGTGCTGACAATTTCCAATGATGGTAAGCTGACCATCGTTGGAAAATAACTGACTTTTCTTTCACACATACTGGCCCCATTTTACAAAATTTAGTTAGTCCATATTTTAGTTGCGATCGGTTACACATCCATAAACAGGTGCAAGCGTTTCGTGACCTGACAATTCCTGATGTCTATAAATTGCTCCGTTTTGAAGTAGAGTTAGGGAATCAGACTACAAGAACAGCAATTTTCCTTGGTTTTTCCAGCATCCATGAAAACAAAACTTTAAGCAGGCCAGTGAAACAATATTTCATATGAAATACCAACCACCCAAATCCAACCATTTCTGAAAATAAGAGCAAAAGCAAATGTTGTGTATTCCCTTTAAGAACATGTAAAATAATTTATAACATATTCAATCTACAAGAAATCCAACTTTAAAATAAAATGACATCTGATGCGACGAAAACCCTTTGAACCCAGGCACGCACATATACCGGTATATAGGATGTTGTCTGAGATGGATACAAGACCCAACTTGAGACATACTTTGAGGTTATCTTGGCAAGTAAAGTAATGACCAAAAACGTTGTAGTGGTCTTTCTTTGTTTCTTTCTTTTATGACACAAAGCCTGACCCCAATAAGAATGTTGACCTGGAAGTTGTAGTTGAGACTTGCGGGACAACTGTATCGACACTATATGCCTGCACTGGCTTTGCCTATTTTCACAGTATTTGGTGACTTGGATGACAACAATCAGCTCGTGATTTTGACTATTAAACCTAAGTTAAGCACTTCATTATCTCAGAAAAGACTCTTGATTTTAAAACAGAAGTAACCAATTTTTTGTTTGCAATTTTTCTCTATATGGATTTTTTTCCTGTCTACTTTAGACAGTATTACATATTCAAGGTCTAAACTTTGCATTACTACAGAATTAAAACCACATTCTACAAGAAATTTAGGGATCTAGTGCAGGCAATGATTGGGCCAAGACCTCCCATGTGCTGATCAATCAATACTCACGTTGCTTGTTCAGGGCTTTCTGCATCTTCAGCTTAAGCCTTTCTTTGGGTGTCAACTGTTTCTGTAACGGGAATCATTGCAATTGTGTGAGTAATAGCCATGTTGCAAGCAAGGTATGAGAAAACAAAATATTTTATGCAATACACATTCTGCACCAGAGTTGTAATAAGTCTGAGTATCACCTGTATCTAAGCATGCAAATTTATGCGACCCCGCACACCAGCTAATCATCGACTAAAATTGTGACATTATTTCGATCAGAAATGTGGATTAAGCTGTTGATTGGTCAATTTGCAGGCATGTAACTTTTCCTCTGATCGGCTGTTTTCCTCGTTGTTTACTTCTCACGAACGCCATTACAAGTTGAAAAACACTGTACAAAGTCTTGTGCGGTTTGCAATTTCCTCGTTTTTGTTTAAATTGCCAGTTGCATGCCTGAATTTGGATGCCATGTTTTTGTTATACAACAACGGGCATAGAGATCAAACTAGAAATGTGTTTGTGGACAAACACAGGCTGTTTCGGATATTTGAAATACTCTGTGCACGTGATGAACACTTGATGACGTCACTTTAAATGTCATCTATAACACCTGAATTTGGATGCCATGTTTTTGTAATACAACAACAGGCATAGAGATCTAATAAAACCTACACGACATTGGCTCGCAAAACTGTTGGCAAAATGAACACGCATGATGGTGTTCTTATTACACAAGTTATTTGAAATACTATGCGATGATCATTCGATGTTTGAGCATCGTGTAAACATATCGTTACAGGCCACAAGACACAGCTATTTGTGCTCACACAATTCACAACGTAAAAGCATAATAGATGTTGTGTCTAGGTTTTATTAGATGTCTGTGAGTATGACAACGGGTTGCCAAAGACCCGATATAGAAGGCGCCTGCTGAATGGTCAGAATCTCAAGGTCAAGACGCAGTCTTGTTTTGTATAATTAATCACTCAATCTGCTCACATAATTATAGACCCTTGCTGTGCAAGGGAATATTCAATAGACTAGTAATCAAGTACACCAATTTTAAATCACAAGTCACGAGACAAAAGTAACAGGAGATGAACAATAACAAAGGAATGACTTTTGAAGATTTGTGAATAGATGACGAAGTTATAATTGTGAATAGATGACAAAGTTATAATTCTGCTCTGCTGAATGTGATATCACACCGCTGTTTCTGTGTGTACACTGAATATACATGCAGCACTGCTCTCCTTGTTTGTACATGTACGAACATAAATTCCTTAAACCTTTTAACTAGTTAGCACCGCAATGCAGGCTTTATCAAAAACTGGTTTAAGGTGCCAAAAACTGTTGTTGTGGTTGTATGCGATCCTGAACTGTAAACTAAAAGTGGCAAATATTTAGGGGTTTGCTTCATGCTGTATGCAACTTTGTTGAAACAATTGCATTTTTGAATAAACTATTCACACTACTATTAAGCATTTCCTCCAGCCAAAATCTTCTTTATCTTAATCCAAACTGTTCAGGATTTCAAGGTGAAATTAGGTAAGTATTTGAAACATCTTGAAATCTTACTGACTTTGTCGACAGAGCCTGGTGTTTTACCCACACTACTTTCTCCCGACCTGCAAGACACAAAGGAAAGCTAGCTCAAGAAATTGGAGATTTGTGTGAAGGGACACAGGTAGTCAACACAACCCCATTTGGAAGATGGTTTCAACTAGGCATTTTGTTCAGTCACACAACTTCACAGTGTTGATCACTTAGTAAATAAGGAAACTGAGAATTGGGCACTTGGAAGATAACTGCACTGCAATCTACGTCTCAAACACATACAATTTGACAGAAAGTGATCACACCCTGAAAACGTGGATTCAAGTAATTATCAATTATGAATGGAAGTTGCAGTAGTTCTCAAAACCTCCAAACTCTCAGAATTTGATAAATTTATATTTTTAAACACAGGTCCACTTCAACATTTAGTCGTAAATACCCGAGAGGGTTTACCAATTCCTATTGGTCGAGAGGCAGTCAAGTGGGTGGTTTTAAACCACCGATAAAACACTGCTGCATTCTGCGCCACATCGCGCAGTACCCGTCGGGCACATGCCAGTTTCCGAATAAGGAGATTTAAGCACTACGCGGGCGAGGCACATACCAGAGATATGGCCGGAGGGATGTTTCAGTAAAACCTGAAGCAAATTTGTTGAACAAAACTGTTGGAAATCTGGGAATTTCTAACTTGTTTTGAATTTTTGACCAAAAGGTATTTATGAATGGGAATAAATATATGCTTGGCCGATATTAAACAAGTACATTAATTAAGGCCATTATCCACATCCAGGCCCCTAACCAGTTTTAATCGTGCATGTTTAAAACCGGCCGAGTACATATTTATTCCCTTAATAATATGTAGATTAATGGCATGCAAACCTTTCTGAAATGTAATCACCTTTTACTTTTAACCGAGCCAGGACTTTGCAGATGTCTGTTTCTCCTCTCTGGACTTCGGGATCGGGATCTTGCCCTGTAACGATCCCGGGACCGGGACCGCGACCTGGGCCTCCCCGCCCAGCCGTGAGATGATCGTATCGGTGACTTTGATCTTGACCTTCGGTATCGGTTATAGGAGTGATGGGAGGCCCCGTGCCTATCGGCGGATCTGGAGCGAGAGCGCCGGTAACCACGATGAGGAGATCGGGATCGGGATCGGGATCTCGACCGAGAGTAACTCCTGGAGCTGGAGGAGCCTCGTCTATGTCGCCCTCTGGAGGAGGATCGGGAGGAGGATCGCGAGCGGCTGTGGTAACGCGGCCTCCCACGTGCTGGCGATCTCGAGCGGGACCTTGATGAACTAGAGGAGGGGGAATGTCGGTGGTGCCTTCTGAAATGAAGGAAGTTACTATAAAATACAGTACATGTACCTTTCACATTCAGAAAGCTATGGTTTCCCGTACTATAAGACAATATTTCCTTCCTTTTCCATGCTTTATCCTTTGTTTAAACTCATTTCTTCCTTCATCGGACAAAACTTATTTCTGATAAATCTCATATAATAAAGCATTCCATTTGTTGAGAGGAACTTTAAGAGCAATTTAGTCAAATGTAATGATTACTGTCAAAGCGTTTTTTGCTTGGAGGACCCTTCCTGAATGCCCTGAACAGCCTTGGGGCTAAACCAATGGCACATTTGAAAACAAAATATAAATTCAAGGGTCATAATCAAGCCCCACGTAAAGTCAAGCAGATGGGCTGTACCTTCTTCAATCCTGCAAGAATCTTCCACACAAAAACTTTGAAAGATCTTGGACAATACAGGTTTACTGTAAAAATGTATTCAATGACAGCCAAGTCTCATCCTTGGACATTCTAACGATCCATGTTGATAAGTATTATATGATTTGGGTTCAATGATGCAGCAATAAATTGGCATGGAAACAAACCGACCGTGATTTGGCATGAGATTCAGACCCAGACAGGGATTTGGAAGCCTTTGTAGAAGCAGCGGCAGCCTTGCCGCTGCCCTGCGTCCCGGCAAGTCGCTCTTTCCTCTCCTCCTCTTGCTCCTCGCCGAAGCTGGTGATGAAGGTGACCTTGCCCGTGTCCTCCGGGGTAGTGGAGCGGCTCCGTGACCGAGAGCGAGAGTGCCTGTAGTCCTGGTAGGTGGGGCTGTCCCGACTGGCATAGCTTCAAGACACAAACAAAATATAACGGTAAGCTACGATATTAACCACATGCACATTTCACAGAGTCTGTACTGAAGTTAAGCCCATCACAAGTCAGGTACCAAGCAAATTACAAATGTCCAGGATGAACAAGAACCAAACTAAAGTTCATTTTAATAGTTTGTTTATACCTAAATGAGGACTGGTTGACTAATAATTGACTTGTTAGGACTTGTGATGTACTCGACTACACCATGGGTCTTCCGTTGGAGTGTTTAACATTGACCCCTGTTTGCTAATTTCACAAACATCTGCTAGGTGTGGAATGACTCGTGTGAGAATTGCATCAAACCTTTCCCAAATTCAAAACATGCTCCAAATTTTTGAGAAATTGACTCCCTGTACTGGCTGCCTCCAGTTCCCCAAGATTCTATTCCAGGCATTCAAAACTAAGTTTTAAAATGAAGTCTTAGGGAGGGATTAAACCTCTTTAACGACCCAGCATTAGGAAATCACTACTACAGTTCATCGTGTAGGTTTTTCCAAATGCTTGGTTTGTTCGGTAAATTTTGAGTCGATTCCTAACATAATCTTAACTTATCTTAATCACCCTATTCTAGGATGCACGCACCGTTCCCGCCGTACAAACACATACAGTGGAACGTCGCTATACCAAACATTGTCCTTGGCTCCCGATTTTGTGTGCAAAACGTACTGAACAGTGTTGTTGAAAAATGTCAACAGAAGTGTGACAAGAAGCTATTATTTCCCCAAGGAATAGAAGTTGAAAGCCACCCAATACTGTAGGTAGTAAGCTCAGAAACTGTGGAATTACATTATTCAATTATTATAGTTGTCTTTCAGTAACTACCAGGGCGTGCAGGGTGAAGTTCTGAAGGGCACTACTTATATACCAAGTGATCGCTATTACGAACAATTTCTGTGGATCCCTCGATGTTCATTATAGCGGCGTTCCACTGTAATAACTAATATTGATCATGAGGTTTATATGAATATGCCATTCAGACGTACCTTGGTGGACTCAACTTGTCATCTCCTCTTGCTCGAAGTCTTTTCTCTACAAGCATTCGCCGTTCCCTTCTGGATTTTCTTCCCTGGGAAGGAAAAAAAGATTCTTGACTTGTTTGTCTGTCATTTAGAGTGCTGTACGGCATTACAGTTTTGAAAGCTAAGATACTCACAGAAACTTTTCTAGAGGGTTTTTCCCAATATGTACTGAAGCTTGCACTAAAAAGTCAACTACATTACACATTTGTTTATTGAAATGTGGTTAATAGTGGAGGATTACCACAGAATTCTCGAAATGAATTTCCATGACCTTTACGTGACTTTTCCAGGGGAAAATAGGGATTTTCAAGACCAATTCTTCGCTCTTTAAGCATCTTAGGAGCCTATTTACACGCCCAATACACCAGCCAGTCATCACACTGAGGCAAGGGACGCCATTCCCTTTCAGCCTTCCAGTTTGAAACAAGACCACTGAGCACCAGAAAGGCATCACAATGGGGGCACTGAACAAGCAGCAAGAAGTATAGCATACATGCATAAAGAGGAAGTACAAAATCAGAAAACTGCCATAGCCAAATACAGTAAACTCCGGCTAAGTCGGCACTCTCGAGACCCGAGAATTTGACGACTTACGTGAATGCCGACATCTGCTGTAAGTCGTCATTTTGCCGGCTTACATGAATGGCCTTTTTGCACACATGATTCATTGCACTATTTGGCTTCGATTTTGATTCAACTCCTTAATAATTGAGTTGAATCCAGCAAATTAATCCTTGAACTTTATCATCATGTTTTGGGTATTGATAGTGGAGACTACATGTACAAAATAGTAATACATTTGTACGTGCACAACTAGTTACAAATTAAACGCGTGCGTGGTATATACCACGCATTCATTGACTGCATCATTCAATAAGACGACCCCCAAAATGGACAGAGCAGAATAATGCAGTAGGAAACCCTTCGACCTGGCTGTGCAGCGACACCGATATATGTAGCAATCAGGGGCTGGGCCAAACCACTTTTCACTCGACACTTCTTGCCAACCGCAGTACAGGAAGTCAATGCCAATGCGTGATTTTTTGAATGCCGACTTACACAAAGGATTTTGTTATGCTTTTTATGGAAAGGGGACCGAGAGTAACACGACATCTTGAGTGAAATGGCGACTTATAAAAGCCAACTTAGAAATAAAAATTTCAATGGAAATGCATTACAGACAATCGGGACTTTAGTAAGACGGCCGACTTGAGCGATTTGACGAGTTGTACGGTGTCAATTTGGCCGGAGTGTACTGTAGTATGCATCATCATGTATGGGTTGTGCAGGATTCCATGACTTTCCATGTTGTTATTCTTGGAATATATCAACTTTCCATGTTTCTATGACTGTCAGTACCATGATAGTGTTTTTTTTTACCATCTAGCAACACAAACAGGACTTACTGAATACAGTGCTTTCTCCTCTTCAATCTCTTTGAATCTCTTCTGCATATCCAGCTCATGTTTGTCCCTTTCTAGCATTCTGTACCAAACGAGAAGGACAGTAGGTAAATACAGTCACTTTGTACTCTGTCTACGAATAGTATATGTAGATGACACTGTGTGGCCTACCCAGAAGAGCCGGTATGTGAGATTACTCCCTCCCCCCCCTCCCCCCCCCCCCCCCCCCTCTGCTGTTTAAAAGGTCACCAACAGTCAAAGTTCCCTTCCACTTCCCCTGGTATACTTTTAACACACCGGTGGGTCACTTGACCAGTTTTGACCAAAGTATTAAACAGCATGGCTCAGAGTGCATCTTTACATAGGAGGGTTAATTGTTCATGCTATAAAGCTACATGTAATGCAAAACACTAGAGAGCTAACTCGCCGTATATAATGTTGACGCACAAGTGTTTGTGTACAAACCTATGGAAAACTGGATATTTTATGGCTATTTGCATATCTACGTTTTGTATTCAAAGTTTCACTTCATTCAACCACCATACACATTGATTCAAATGTCTTCGCACAGGACCCACGAGGAATGAGGAGTTTAGTGCTCCAGTAATCCAATGTAGCAGTACGATATGGTATTTGTAGACATTCTGGAATGTAAACAATATTCAGGGATCAGGAAGCAGAAAACTGGGCACTTTGGTATGACTAACTTGTCAAGTGCAACGAAGGGTGTCCGTGGTATCCCAATTGACTTAATTTGCCACTTATTGCCATTAACCCTAACCGAACTCAACCCATCAAGGCCCAACAGCAGGTTTTGTTGAAATCTGTTGGGATAGGTACAGTCAGTACCCCCAAACTGATGGTCTTTTACACTGGGTTTGGCATACCTCCAGAAACTAAGTCCAACAGTGTGTGTACAGTTTCCCATGTGGGTGTTGGAATTTGCCAGAATGGGTACGGTTCCTAGTAAATTATAGTAGGGAGTTAGGGTTAATTAATATCCATCACATTAACTTCAGAAAAGTGCATTATGTGGCCGAGGTGACTCACCTGACATATTCATTGGGCTTCATGCCATACCGCTCACCGACAGAATTGAGTTCTGCCTTCTGTTCATCAGTCAGTTCATCCACATCTACATTGATATCTACAAACAGGTTGAGAAATGTCAATTGAGGAATGCTTTGTGCATGTCCAGACATGATCTTCACACAATATTTTTTTTATGTAACCGACATACATATCCTTGTCATTTGATGATTGGTGAAACTCACATCACATGTCATTCGTTATTGCTCCCTTTCACGCCGCGGCTCAAAAAGTACTATCCGCCCATGAGGAATTGGAAATACTATTGAACAGTTAGGATCATTCTTGTTCCATGACGCGATATTTGTGTGCAAATGCATGCTGGTGTGCGGGTTGCGCGTAGCGCGTATTGTTCCAAAGAGCAAGCGCTACAGAGTTGGGTTCAAACATTTTCGTGAAGGGGTGGTTTGGAAGAGAGAAATACATTTTTCTCCAGTTTTTATTGAAATAAAAGTTCAAATATATCAGATGACAAGGATCTATATGTCATTTATATAAAACAAATATTGAGTGGCTTTAAATTGCGAAATGGGAGGAATATTATCGCTTGGTAAAATCTGGACTTTTCCAGTTCACTCGGCTTCACCTCGTGAACTGGAAAAGTCCAGATTTAAACTTGCAAAATATTCCTCCCATTTCACTCTGAGCCACTCGATATTTGTATATTGGCAGTAAAGTAAACCATCATATTTATCCCACACCCCCTTAACCCTTTAGGAGTAAGGGTGTGCATTTACGGGTGGTACGGGAACCGGGTACCCGGCTGAGAAAAACACGGGTGCTTGGGTACCCGTTAATTTAAACCCTTCCCCAAATTTAAATCTCAGAAGTTTCTGTTCAGATATTTCATAAAAGTCCGTGCAATAATACTTTTACATTGGTGCGTCAATTCAGCAGTTCATGTGTGTACAGTCACTGTGAGTTTTACAGCTTTATACAGTTTTATAAATGTGACATCTGTTTTGTTTTTCCACGTAGCCTGGTTGCCTGGTTGCCTAGTTTTCACTTTGAAAATTCCCCACAAATTCAAGGCACTTGTTTCATTGTCTGAGAATTAACTAAGTTACTTTTTAAAGTTTGTTTTGGGTACTCAATCCCTAAATCTGAAACCAGTTCCTGACATCAGCGGTCAGGTACTTGGGTACAGGATTTGATGCACAGCCCTACTTAAGAAATAAGAACCATTTGGGGGGGGGGGGCAAGTTACTGGAGGGGGAATTCAAACCCTTCCTGATCTTTGAAATGCTATGAAGTTTTATAAATTTGGTATTCTAGTAGACATTCATACTCAGTACATACGCAAACATTTAGCTCATTCCGACAAGGGTTTTGAAATTGTGATTATTAATATCACATGGTTCCAGCATTCCACAGCTTCTATCATGTTCTAATACATGGCCGAGTTGTGTCAGTCACAAGTTACCACAAGTCCATCACAAGTCCATCACAAGTCCATCGCAAGTCCATCGCAAGTCAATCGCAAGTCAATCGCAAGTCAATCGCAAGTCAATCGCAAGTCAATCGCAAGTCAATCGCAAGTCAATCGCAAGTCAATCGCAAGTCAATCGCAAGTCAATCGCAAGTCAATCGCAAGTCAATCGCAAGTCAATCGCAAGTCAATCACAAGTCAATCACAAGTCAATCACAAGTCAATCACAAGTCAATCACAAGTCATCCAGTCCCTAGTCAACCCACAAGCTATTTCAATGGATTGAGAAAAGGAATTCCTTTGTCACTGTTCAACTCTCGTTACTTCTGACCTGACTTGTGGATTGACATGCGATTACAACTCTTGATACTCAGTCAGCGGAAAACATTAACCCTAACTCCCCAGCCTAATTTACTAGGAACCATACCCATTCAGGCAAATTCCAACACCCACATGGGAAATTGTACACACACACTGTTGGACTTAGTTTCTGGAGGTATGCCAACCCCAGTGTAAAAGACCATGTGTTTAGGGGAACTGTACCTATCCCAACAGATTTAAACACTAACCTACTGTTGGAATTTGCCTGAATATGGGCAGTTAGGGCTAATCAGCACACCTTTTGGAAATGTTCAATTTCGCACAATGCGTTGCTCGATTTTATGAAATTGGAGTAAAAATGTCTGCAAAACATCACAATTCATAGCATTTGAAGTAAGAAATGTGTGTAACACTGTTATGAAAAATTTTCCAGGAGATTTCATTTGTAGGAAAAAGTAGGAATTTTACGGAAAAAAGTAGGAAAAGTAGAAGCAAGGTAAAAAAAAAAGAAAAAAAGGAGGAAAAGTAAGAATACTTGAAAGCCTGCGGAGCCCCCCCCCCCCCCCCTCATTGTGTTGCTCATAAAGGTTTTGCACCAAAAAGAAATTCAGTAATGATAATGAAAAACATGGGATGGAGGTGGGGGGAATTTCACCTCGGATGCCTGATGGAATCTTGCAAAATCTCCTGTTGGACTCGTGAGAGGGTTAATACAGTTATGGTGATGACCTACCAATATCAATATCACTGAGACTTGTATCGGAGGAGCTGTCATCATCACTGTCTTGGGAATCCTCTCCCTCCTCCTCCTCATCTTCCTCCTCCCCTGCCTCCTTGCTACCATCGTCATAGCTAAAGCCAATGGCTGCCCTCTTTCCCTTCAGTCTGAAGTAAGCAAGAGAGAGAGACAGATATTTACCAGGACTATCAAGACTCTAAATCTTGTCCAGGTACATGATAAGATACAAAATGAGCTTTAGAACACATTTTCAGTCAGTTTTCGGAAAAAAACAGACTCGGCTCTTCATTTTATCACTTAACCCCAACCCTCCAGGGTACAACCCTGCCAAATGTAGCAACATGCAACACTTGAGTGACAAGCCTGCCAAATGTAGCAAGATCCATCAGGGAAAAGTCTCAAGGCCACACTGCCTCAGAGTCTGTGGCCACCGAATGCAGCAGGATACAACTGTGGCATTGTTCCATGGGACTAAACTCTCATTGTTTCAGAGCTGGCCATTCATGCACTGGTGTTGGTAGATGAATGTATCAAAATGCACCAGTTCTTTTCCACCTGATGCACTGTGTTGTGTCTGGCAGGGTTAGGGTTAGCAGGTGGTCAATATTTATTAACCCTACTGCTGTCTGAACAGTCACAGTCAACAATATCAATCCTCATCCCCTGCTATGCCTTTGACACAGGCTAGTCACCAACAGTCAGGTTATATTTCAAGCAAGCACTGTGACTAGTCAAATTTAGCAAACAGATAAAAGCAGGCTAGTGGTAGTCACAGCTGGCTTATCAATCGCCTACCGTCAAAGCACAGCTGTATCAAGTTATCATAAACAGTCACAGCCATTAATCCTGCTCAGGCAGGGAGCTCTTAACAGTTAAAACAGTCACTTGACTGATCTAGACTGAAAGGAGAATTTTGCACAGAATGTATGTTTGTACAGGAGGGTTAATATTAATTTTAGCTTAAAGGAAACATGCAGTCCAAATTCAGCTCATTTTGTTTTCATGCACATTACTATGTGTTGCAACACCACAAACAAGATATACTTGTTTTCACTGGAAGTGACAAAAAGTGGTAGTTTTTCAATTATTAGCAAATCCTTTCATCAACACATGTAAGAGGGCGCTATTTTGCTTTTGTCACAAGGCACTCCTTGTCAAAAGTGCATTATGAACAGTACACAAACAAGTCCTTCAAAATTACCCACAAAAAAGTGTTGAAGGAATATTGGCCACTTCTATTGTCCAAACAAGCTGTTTAGCATGACAAACAAGTAAAAAGTGGAACTTACTCCAAGAAAATGTAGAAAAGTTTGATATACATTTGTACATAAAGCTATGGAGAAACTACTGGTTCTGCCTTGAATGACATTACGCTTTGGCTTATGAATATAAAAATTTTCATTAGCGTAAAAATTAAAATGTTGAAATGTCTCCCTTTTACTGCTACAAAGGAGGTGGAAAGTCATAGTTACATGGCAAGAAAGCTGCTTTAAATGTATGTAAGTCATAAAAACCCTATTACATGTTCCTTTTAAGTACACTCAGACAGTCCAAGTAGATATATGAAAATAAATGTACACATTCAATTGTTAAAACGTGGCTTGCTTCATAAACAGAAACAGGAAAAAAAGCAGCCAGTAAGAGAATGGTGTTGCTGTCTTTGTCAGTATTTAATTGTGATAAAATCTCAGTATTTGGACTGACTTTTCTTTGTCGTCATTCGGCTTCTGACCAGTGACATCCGGGAACATCTCATCCACTCTGATTTGGTTGAGACACTGCTCCTCAGAAACTGAAAGGAAAAACAATAACCAAGATCAATTCACATTGGTTGCAAGTTGTGGATGACATCCACAACTGGGGAGTCAGGTTGGCGTAACAGTTCTTTCCTCGCCTTCCACCGCTGTGACCCGGGTTCGATTCCCGCCTGGGCCAATATGTGGATTGGGTTTTCAGTCCCTACCTGATTCCGTGGGTTTTCCTCAGAATACTCTTCTGGGCTTTTCCTCCCACATCTAAAACTGTAATTTCTTCACAGTGTCTTCTCTTTACTGGGACCCATGGGAGACCAGTGGATTCCACTGAATGGGCGACCCAGTTAAAATAAGAAATAAATAAATAAATCCACAATGTTGCAGTTAACCCTAACCCTCCTAAATCCTCCAAAATCCTCCAGGCAGTTTTGGAGGATTGAGGCTCAATGGCCAAAAAAATGCATAATTGAGCCCTGCATTATGCTTGATATCATCCGCACTGCTTCTGAATGTTATCAGCACTGCCTCAACCCATTAACAGTGATTGTTAGAGGATTTTGAAGGATTGAGGCAATGGTCACCCCTCCACTGTTAACAAATCCAAGAAATAACGAATGATTTTGGAGGACTGAGGCTGAATCAACTTTTGACACGGTGGTAATTGGAGGATTTTGCAGGGTTGATGATGGATCCTAAACAAAAGGGCCTTGGGGTTAGGGTTAAGACTCACAAGAAGATTTCAGGAGCTGAAGTACTCAAAATCGAAAACATGATTGTCCCGACTATAATTGGGATCGTCCTAACTACAATCGGAACTGTCCCAACTACATACACATTTATACATTTGTAGCTTGGGCCATTGATATTCATGTAGTTGAGGTGTAACATGGACAACTCATTAGGTTGTAGACATGGTAGTCCAGACAACTGTTTTCCTTAAAAGAAATGACATGCATGTTATTACTTCAACATGCCCATAGATGATGCCAGGCAGAAAAAATCACAGGGCATTAATGATAGCTCCATTACAGATTTCTTGATAGTTACGTTTCTGCGCAATTCAAACTAATCCTCCTGCGGGCCTTAACCCTAACTCCCTAGGGGGTGTGCAAAATCGTATTGAAATTGGAGGATTCAGGACTGTTAGGGCTATCAAACTCTGCAGTGGTATTAAAAGCATACCATATTGAATAGGCCCTTTACTGCTACAACAGCCATATTATGGGCTCCGTGCGCCAATGAAAGAGGGCGCCATTTTACCTAGCAACGACGTCCCTGGGCGGGACATTTAGCTGGTTGACGCGCATCGTTCCTTGTGCTTGAGTGTGACGCACGTACACCAGGGGATTTGTACTATGTACACGCAGTGGTACGGCTGCGCGTTGCGGTAAAATTGCAGTCAGGCAAAATGGCGTTGGTCGGTCAATCCCAACTGTACTTTCTTTGCCGGTGAGGGGGTACTTGTGAACGGAGCGGATAGGACAAGTTCCTTGCATGTTGTATCTGTGTGGGACATGTGCATGTATGAATACATGTGTATAGCTAGGAACATACCTTATCCTGCCCTATAGTATGCCTGTTGTTGTGGACACAATGAACTAAACAGTCTAAAGAAAAGTCCTCCTTCAAAGGAAGGGCGGTTCACAGGTCTTGACTTTGTTAGAGTCTGAATTGTCAAGTCTATCATAAATCATCACAAATTACCCACAAGTCATTTTGAATCGGGTCAAGTCACAAGCTGTTGAAATAAACCGCGACGGAGGCATTCCCTAGTCACTGTTCAACACCTGTTAGGCCAAAAAAAAAAATAAGTCGGTCTCTGGTCAGCGCGCGCGTCGATTTTAATCATGCGCGTCGATCTTTTTTTTACGTACATGAGGACACCAAAAAAGCAAAGTAGTACCCCACCTTGTCTGTACAATCCAAGCTTGAAGAAAAAAAAAAAAAGCAAAAAAAAAAAAAAAGCCGCGTGGCCACATCAATTCCGGAACTTTGGTCTGACCAGAGACCGAATATTTTTTTGGGGGGCCTTACAGTGGTGAGACTTTAATTTGTAAGTGACTTGTGATTTGATTTGTGAATGGATTTGAGTACAGCTCTGGTTCAAGTGTTAGCCACTTCAAACTATCACTGATTTTTCTTTCCTGGTTTTTTTTTTATTCCCAAGATTATCAGCCACTCAAAGGGATGTTCTTCAGGGGGGAATAATGAATTACCACCTACTTCCGGCACCCTCATTCTGCACTAGAGTTCGATACCGCTCATAGAAGCACTTGTCTTCGTCCGGTTCCTGCGGAGTCGGGGAGATGGCTGATATGACACTCTGGCCAGAGATGAAGTCCAGATGGGCCCGAGCATCGAAGCGGTCAATCATGACGCTGGTGTCCCCTTGCCAAGGCATCCTAAGGAAGAAGAAATAAGCAGTAACAAAATAAAAGCAATACGTATATATTCCTCTTTAAAGGGAATATACAATATTTGCTTTTGCTGTAATTTCCAGAAATGGATGAATATTTGGGGTTAGTATTTTATAGCAAGTATTGTTACACTGACTTGTTTGACGTTTTGTGTTCATAGATGCTGCAAAAAAACAAGAAAAACATTCAAGGTTCGTGGTCTGGTTCCCTGACTCCACTTACATGTAAGATGAAACGGGAAATTGATACAAACATACCACTTTTCTTGAATTTTTTTGTTGTTGATGTTTGCAAATGTTGTATTTTCCGTTTAACGGGCCAATGCAATGTATTTTTTTTAATGCAATCCTTGAAATGCACTTTTTTGTGTCCCATGTTACCTTATTCTCAATTTTCATTTTGCCATTTTCAGGTGCCTTTTTGTTTTTATGCTAATTCAAATTTCCATATTCGTGAGCAAAAGTGTAATGTCATTTCAGGCAGAAACCTCAAAGTTCCAGCTATTTCAGCACCACAAGTTGCCAGAATTTTGGATAGTTTGCTGTCGTGAATTTTCTTTTCTTTGGTGATTCGTTGGTGTGTCAGCACTTGGCAGCAAGCCAATGAGTAAGCTTTCCTCGCAGATGTTTTCAATGAGGAAATGTTTGGGTTCACAATACATGTAAGAGAAAACCCCTAAACTGAACAGTGTCTTCCTGAAATGACATCACAGCAACAGCGCCCTCTGTTGTGCGGAAAAGTATATAAATCGGAAACGTGGGGAAATATATACCAGGCATGTAATTGGGCCTAAAAACATACGTGCACAACGTGCACGTTGTACAAGAGGTTTACATACACATAGGCCATCAGCCTCGGTCCAAAATTTTGGCCACCGGTATCAAATGAGGGGAATAATCATCATAGCGATTTTTGGCAAGGTATACACCTCCAGAGTTGGAAAATATGTGATAGCATTGCAGCGGTGGCAGCTTTTTTGGTGTTATCACCCTTTTTTTCAAAATGTCCATCAAAATGCTTGTTACGAAGGGGTGGTTTACCTTGCGCATGCGCAATATAATCATTTATGCCCTGATTTGATACTGACCAAACCCCCAGGCTGATGGCTTAACAGAGGAAAAAGTACATGCACCAGTGCATGCGTGCACCCGTCTAAATCAAACACTGGATTTTTTTTGTCTTACACAAGTAGTGCCAATTAGGACATTCCATTGTGAAATTTTTACCCTGCTCATTTACGTAGTCAATTTACAAATGTATGTGCTACTAACATTGTGCCTGGTCCTTCGGCAGCCAAGGCAACGGCTGGGTCTAGGTGAATCTTGCATGCCGCTGCATGGACTCTCAAGAACTGCGTCGGGTCTTGTTTCTGCAAAACAACCATTTAGATTCAAATGAATGCAAAAAGTCTCTTGGAACCAGTCTAGCTTCATCATGATTCAAGATTAGTCATTCCATTATTGTTCCTACCAGCTTGTATGTAACACAAATTGCACGGACTTATAGTCGAGGTCAGTTGGGTTTTTTTTCCACATTGAAAAGTCACGTGACAAGAGCCCACTATTAACCCTAGCTCCCTAGGTGTTTTTTGCTAGGATGAAGCCTCGATCCTGCAAAATCATCCAATTGGCCCCATGGAAAAATACCCTATAGCCTCAATCCTGCAAATTCCTCCATTATTTCTTGAATATGGTTCGTGGATGGGTGACCACTGCCTGAATCCTGCAAAATCATGCGGCAGTGATTGTCAATATGTTGAGGCTTGGCCAGTGACATCCTGGAGCAGTACGGAGGATTTCAAGCATAATCCAGGCCTATATTTATGCATGGCTGAGCAAAAAACAATTCACAAGGTCCGGCCAAAGGCCTTAACAAAGCGCATCCTACGAAATCAGTAACGCACTTTTGCCTCAATCCTCCAAGTTCCTCTACTTTGGCAAAGAGGATTTTGAAGGATTTAGGGCGGTTAGGGTTAAAGAAATGATCTACTTCAATAAAAACAAGGGATTTGATTAAAAACATAACATGCAAGTAAAGAAAAGTAGTTTTTTAGGCCTAAAAGAACAAACAAACAAAAATTCTCCCAGCGCAGATTCGATCTCGAGACCTTCGCCACGGCCAAGACAAGCGCTTAGCTAATAGAGGGTATACACAGCCATTATCCAACAGTAAACTTATGCAAGATTTGACCTCAGTGAGATCATGTTGTGAGTGAGATCATGGTTCTTTTTTTAGGACGCAACTTGCGTGTCACTTCTGGTTAGCGCGGTGAAAACATTTCGAGGTGAACGTACTATACGTTCAAGCATTTGTTTTCACCTCACACTTTACAGTGACCTGAGCTGAGGTCATGCAAAGTTGCATCCATGACTGATGACATCATATGCATGAGGTCTATCCATCTACAATAGGTAGAATCATCAAATTTCAAAGTTGATTGGATAGTTGTAGAATTTACTTTATCTTAAAGAGCTTCCAAAATGCAATTAAATAAGCATGATAAGTGGTGTCCTAGCTTCATAGGGCAAGCAGTTCTGAAATTATTGCAATTTTAAAGCTTTTTTTTTGCCTTAAAATGATGATCGGTTTGGCTGAAATAAATGTGACCACATCAGTTGATAATGTATACAAACAGCGTACAAACGTATAGGAAATTTACACCCAATAATGGCATTGCGGAATCCACAACTTTTTTGGCAAACAAACCAAACTTTTTCTAATGTCAACTACACCCTGAAATTCTCCTTTTTGGAGTTTGGCAAAAGTTCCCCTGTCATGCCTGTATGTGATATTCCAAGTCAAATCTTTTCAAAAAAGGCGGTCACAGAAAATTAAGTCATTGTGGGTATGAAAATAGCGCCACCAATGTCCGTCATGTCCGTGGCGGTGGTTCTACCTATCTATCTAGTCCAAGTAACTTGGACCCAACTTATCGCCTTTTTTAACATTTTGGACATGGTCTGGCGATAGTGGGGTCCAAGCTAATGCCGCGACCTGGACAACATCATCCTGTCACTGTCCCAAACCAACATTTTCCAACAAAAAACATCAGATTTCACCTTCAAAACGGCCTCCAAATTACTAGATATGCCACCTGAATTACAAGTAGACATCGATGATTAAGATGGTTGTACTTAAGTTTACTTACGATCCGGAAGAAAAGTGAAATTTTCGCGGTACGCCTAGGAGTCGCGCTGGCTAGCCAGGCGCATGGCTGGCACTCTTCATCAGGAAACAGTTGTCGGCACGGCGCAGGGGAATCTGCCGTGCATGCAGTGCATTGTGCGCAAGCGCGCCGTCACGACCTTTGCATGAGGTCGAGGTCAGACACCATTACCCAATTGGGAACGCGTACACACAGCGTATCATGCAGTTTTGAACGTGAGCACAACAACGACAACCTAGGCAGAGGGGGTCTTCAGAATTGAACGGAAAATGTCACTTTTCTTCCAGATCGTAAGTAAACTTTTATAGCTCCATGGTACAACCATCTTAATCATCTATGTCTACTTGTACTTCAGGTGGCATATCTAGTAATTTGGAGGCCGTTTTGAAGGTGAAATCTGATGTTTTTTGTTGGAAAATGTTGGTTTGGGACAGTGACAGGATGATGTTGTCCAGGTCGCGGCATTAGCTTGGACCCCACTATCGCCAGACCATGTCCAAAATGTTAAAAAAGGCGATAAGTTGGGTCCAAGTCACTCGGACTACTATCTATCTACAAAGCGTTCTGGCTGGAAGGCCAGGGCAGATGTAAATGTTATATAGATTTGCAATGGTGTTTTTGCCATGCCGTAACGATAGCCAATTGAATTAGCCACTACAATTAAAGTAAATCAGTGACATTTTTTTCTCACGAAATTGGTGTAATGTCATGAATGTACATCATGATCACACAGCCAGACAATTATACATGCCAGCTAGCCCGACCGCGTCTGGCCGTACAGTACTATCGCAAGCTCTGTAGTACGGCCAGATGCCCGATGCTTCCAAAAAGACTGAATTTTTTTGGCCGCCGATGTAGCGATTTTGCTACATCTTTCGATCGCGATTATCTTTTCATCCAGGACACAAATTTCCAAAGTTAAGGTTCGTAGTCGTAGAGCAACTCATACCTTTTCGAAAAAAACGTTCTTTGGTCTCAATATTTTCATCCATCTGGCCACAAGACGAATTTCAGTCATCAGATTCCACAAATATCGTCCCCCATGCGATCCCCCATGCGATTTCAAAATGGCGGCCGCGCTGTAATGTATGCATTAGGCGAGCGCGCTTGGGCAAGATAATGAATATGCATCATACTTTTCATAGTTTATGACGTATGTCGGACACTCAGCGCGGCTGGCCATACAAACACGAGGTCATGAACTAAATAATGCATATTCATTATCTTGCCCAAGCGCGCTCGCCTAATGCATACATTACAGCGCGGCCGCCATTTTGAAATCGCATGGGGGATCGCATGGGGGACGATATTTGTGGAATCTGATGACTGAAATTCGTCTTGTGGCCAGATGGATGAAAATATTGAGACCAAAGAACGTTTTTTCGAAAAGGTATGAGTTGCTCTACGACTACGAACCTTAACTTTGGAAATTTGTGTCCTGGATGAAAAGATAATCGCGATCGAAAGATGTAGCAAAATCGCTACATCGGCGGCCAAAAAAATTCAGTCTTTTTGGAAGCATCGGGCGTCTGGCCGTACTACAGAGCTTGCGATAGTACTGTACGGCCAGACGCAGTCGGGCTACATGCCAGCATGCACACTCATTTACGATGACATGTCACTTACAATCTTCTCATAAAATTCCCTTCTCCTCTCTGCTCTTTTCCTGTAATCCACGATAATCCCATGGATCTTCCGTTCTTGTTTCTTCGCTTCATGCCACATACCGGTGTTTCAAAAGCATAAAATTGGGAGGGTAAAAATCGAAGGCTCGGCCGATCGCGGCCATAAACTCGCATTTATCAGTTTGAAGGTACCCTGTCTTCTTCAACACCAAGCAACTGAAAATAGTGGCATTTGCAATCGGGTACCTATCTACGAATGGGATCATTCTATTTTACAGAAAAAGGGGTAAACCTGTAGGTCCGTAAAATTTTAGATGTGTAATACAGTATTTTCCTGGACTTACTCTCTCCTAATATATTATCAAACATTACCATATACTTGATTTTGAATCGAAATTCGATATTATAGACTCAGCCTTACCCTATATACATCATAGTAATTGTTGAGAAAAAGTATCTCATCCTCTTTCAGAATGAAACTTCTGGAGAACAATCCCATAATGCTTTGCTAAAAAAAGTTCAACGTACATCTGATAAATAATGCGAAACTAACTTTTTAACGAAGGCGCGGGGAATTTAAAACAAGAAGGCAGTATCAACACCATCTACTCTATGCTTTCACGGTTTACGCTACACTTCCAAGCTTTCATTCACTCAGTTCAGGTGAGTTTTGTGTGAAAGGTAGAGCCTAATATAAATGTTCATATATTTACAAGTTAGCCTAAACCTTCGCCTCGGCCTAGTATATTGTTGATGTACCCTAACGTGGCGCGCCCCCTAACGTGGCGCACTTTGATTTTTCGCCTGTAGCGCCTAGCTAGAGCAAAAGTTTTAACTGAAATTTCACAGAAAGTGAAATTTCATCAAGTTATAAACACTCCCGTTCATAAATCGCGAATTTATTTACCCGCTACAAAGTTAAAAGAAAAACTTATTTTGGCGTGATTTTCCGATTTTATTTTCAAGTGCAAAGTGAACCCTTTGAAGATGCCCCGAAAAATAAGAAAATAATTTTGTGACAAACATCTGGCTGGGTATGTAAGTAGAGATAATAATGATTTATCAGAATTTATCAAGTTTTCAGAAATTCTTAAATGTTAATTTGGAATTTCCCGAGATTTATTTAAGTGCGCCACGTTAGGGAACACTCCGCCAAATTGTGCCCAATTTCCGGACGCCACCGTTTTTTAATTTCGGCTTAAATTTTATGAAACCGAAATTGTTCACAGAGGTTAAACAGCAAGCATTAATAAGGTAAAAGTACCAGTATTTCACTGCATGAATTTGAGGTTTGTCAACAAAGAGGTTTGGCAACACTACACGAGGAAATTTGGGTATGCTTCGAAGTGCGCCACGTTAGGGTACATAATAAGAACGTTAGTTAAATTATAAGGCTAACGTTACTTCTGGATGTAACATTTGTCGACGTTAGGCCAACTTTGACTTGATTTCGTAAGTTAAATGTTTCATAACGTGAAGTACGTACGAAACATTTAAGACTAGATTTAGATTCTGTAACAGGGTTCTACAGAGGCAACCATGAAAATGAAGAAACACTGATTCTAAACCGAGTTTTTTCGGCTTTGTTTGTTAGTTTGGGTTTTTTTGGTCCCCCGATTAAAAAAGAAATGATAAAATTCACGCAGTATGAGTATTATACAGCAGTTAACATTTTCAGAAATCTGGACTTACAACCCACCCGCCAACCGTGTCCTTGGTCAGCAAAAGTGCAAATGTTTAATCACAACACGCAACTTAAAACTGTAAAAGGCGTAAACACTAGAGGGTATATGCACAGCCGTTTTCCCACAGTAAACTTCTATGCGAGATTTAACCTCAGTGAGGTCAGGATCTCTCTATAGCCTCTGATGACGTCATATGCATGTACCTTTATCCGGGCATGCTATCCATCACCGAGGCCCCTGTGCAAGTTGTTGATCCGTCACAGGGCAGTTGAAAAAGTTTGTCAGGCATGAGATTTTTCAGACTTTTGTCTGAAATCAGACTTTTTGAATGTGAGAGAAAGACATTAGTAGAAAGATATGCATCTTTCAGACCTTTCATCAATTTTCAGATTTTTTTTAATTGACAATCTCATCCCTGGTTTGTACAAAAGCGTGCACTATTTTTCTCCGTTGAAGGAGCCTAGTGTAAGGAAAGGGTCAGAGGAAAATGTACAGTGCTTGGATTCGTCTGTGGAGAAAACTTAAATAGTGCACTCTTGAATTAAGACTTAGGCTTGTTTTGACATTGTGCAGTGCCAGTGGCGTATTATTATTAAACAGAAGTAAATTTACAGGGGGAGCTTGAGCTATTATTTCTGAACTTGGACACTGGCACTCAATGGGTTTTAACAACATGAAAAGCACCTTTTCTTGGCCATGTAAAGTACTAGACCCCTGGGGCTTTCCCATGTTCTTGTTGGTGTTAATTGTTTGCATGTTAGTTTTTCTTTGTCGTGATCACAACGTTACGGCCTACCCAAACATCTCAACCTCTACACACACAGAAAAGCAGAAGAGGCTCTTTCACATCATGGCAGGGCATTACGACTTAGATGACAATGTTGTCCCCGACCTCCAGTGCTATGAGATGCTTCCCGCAGATGCGGAGCTTCAAATAGCACAAGCTTTCGCTGGGAATGAACCGACTGGGGCTTTCAAGCCGAAGTCTCCCGTGCATCATGCATCATTGTCCGCCCTGCCAGTGGCGCTTCACGGTCCATCAGGGTGCCTTGATGAAAACTTACTACAGGTACCATATCTTGCATCTGATGGCCTTGTGGGCAGCAGTTCTGAGCCAGATGGTTTGGAAGGTGCAGTGTTCGATTCTCCACCAGACATACAAACTGTTCCTTCTCTGCAAGACACACCCAGAGGCACAGCAATCAGTGCATCCTCCCATTCGATGGCCCGGTTCGATCATCAGTCCGTTTCGTCATCGGATGATTCTACCAGCCGGTGCGTGACAGCCACCTCCACCGCAGTCAGTCACTCGCCTTACGAAGTGCCTGACATGTATGCAAACCTACTAGGTCTACTCATGCAGCACCGAGAACAGCATGTGAAATGGAGCCCACCGGCTAGGTTCGATGATCGTAACTGTGGCCGGAGTGACTTGCAGTTCGACGGTCGGTGTGATTGCGATGTACACCTTGTACCGAGATGGGATATAGAAGAATAAACCCTCTTAGTTATTAGGCCAAAAAAAAAAATATTCGGTCTCTGGTCAGACCAAAGTTCCGGAATTGACGCGGCCACGCGGCTTTTTTTTTTTTTTTTTGCTTTTTTTTTTTCCTTCAAGCTTGGATTGTTAAGACAAGGTGGGTACTATTTTGCTTTTTTGGTGTCCTCATTTAAATTGGTGTCCTCCATAATTTGCCTTGGTGCTTTCGATCATTTGCCTTGGTGCAATTTCCCATTCCTTGGTGCTGTTTGGTAAACAAAATTGAGGAGGTGCGGAAATAGAGGGCGCTGTTGGAGCTACCGCGGAACATTTAGGAAAAAAAAAAGATCGACGCGCATGCTTAAAATCGACGCGCGCGCTGACCAGAGACCGACTTATTTTTTTTTTGGCCTTACATAAAGAGATCTGTATTGCCGCTGTACAACTCTACAAAGATCGTCTTTTATTGTGAAACATTTTTGAAAGGTTCAACTGAACTGTGAGCTGTTGTATAAATATCATTTATTGGTTACAAAACATTTTGCCTAATTATTTTTCGCCTGAAACTATAAATAACCTCATAAACGTAAACATTTTAAGTTAATTCAAAGAAGCGAAATGTGACATGAAGTGGGTGAAGTATGTGGCAATAACACTGCACCTATAGTCTCAAAAAAGGGCGTGATGTTATATTAAACTTCACGGGCGCACTTTGTGGTATGGGGGTGGTGGGGGAAAACAAGAATGACAAAGTTAGAATTTGCTTCAAAACAACCTGCACGTAAGCGTGCAGCAGATAATTGTTTTTGCTGCAAACTAATTTAATAAAACAGTTGGGAGAACACCGTTTCAGAATAGAGTTTCAGAGTCTGAAGATTTAACTTAATGTGTACGTGTAGCCTACATACGAAATATCGACTGATAAGGTTCACCTGTCTGAGTCTGTTCGTGTCGACTGGAGTCGTTCCAAATACTTTGCAATGCAAATTTGGAACAGGTGTCAGTCCTGTATACATCGATACTAGAATCAATACGTCGAAAAGTTTCAACTAACAATTTATTTTGTGAAACCATGGAGATAGCTCCATGGTAAAACCAAGTGTATTAAAACAAAACTTTGCCTGTTAACGAATACTTTACATTGCAATTACACGAATGTCACTGTTCGATGTGGTATAACTTACTTTCAAGAATATATTTGGCGAATTGCCAGGGTAATTATTGTTCATTCTTTCAGATTGCTCAAGCATTATAAAGTTTATATACTTTGCGGTTTGTAAATTATTTAAAGATATAGTTACAATAATAGTGTTACACATAGTGGAAACGTTTTGCTTGGTCTGGATTAACTTTATGAATATTCGTGTAACTTTCTGCTTTTAACATTATTTTTAATATATAGTTACCAAGACTAAATTTTACGTAATACCAGAAAACGTGTAAATAAGAGAAATAATATTTAATAATTATATTACTTTTTAAAATTTATATCAGAATATCCATATTTAAAGGAATTCTTTTATTTAAACATATTTACAAATACAGATCGAGGAACAATTTGCTATTCCGATTTCAATCCGGACGACTGAAATCTAGACGTTTTGTTTTCTGGCCCACTTGAAATTAGGTTTGCCATTATATTAGGCCTTTATGCATACCTATAACGACGCGATACGCACACCTTTTGCGTCTTCTTGGTATATTCACCAAATATAAGTTAACTCAGCTACTGCTTTATAATCATATTCTCTATTGTGATCAGTGCACACAGGATATACGTGTATATTTACAACCATAAACAAATTATTATCCGCACTAAACTTACAGAAAGGTTATATACGATCCGTCTTCTGTATAAAATGGTAAATACGCACGTGTAATTAGTGGTCCTATAAAGGAGAAAGTTACCGTGGAAATTATATTTTCCGCTTTTTACCAGTTCTTTACAGTGTAAATATTGTTTCAGAATTCAGTTTGCATAATGTAACGTCACAATGGTTATCTTCACGTTGTTTGGAGGTTCAATCTTACGTTGTCGTTGTATTGTTTAACATGCATATGTGTAGAAAAAGAAAATTAAAATGCAAATTGCGGGGTAAAGCCGATAAATCTAGACTTTTTCCTTTTATGTTTTGAATGATGACCGACGAATATCAGACAAATTCTTGGGTTATTCTGCGATTGTACAGTTTCCATTAGGTTATAGAATTGCTGAATTTCACAAAATAATATATAGTTGTTCTCTGGCTCCTTGGATATTTCTGACTTTTTTGTTTATGGGAAATAGCTTTAGAATTTGGACAGGTACGAGTCTGTCTTCAACGCGTCTACAGCTTTCTTGAGCAAAACCTGGATCCGCCCTTGTGCAGTAATTTTTTCCAAGTAATATTATACTTGGCAGGTCCTGTACACGTGCGCGCAACGCGCGTAATATGCAGCATGCACAGTGTATGAGGTTTATTTATATGGAACGTAGCGTATGAGATGGAGCTATTAAAACATGGAGCTATTTAAACAGTTAACAAGTGTTGACTGCTGTGATGTGGGATATGACGTTTTTAACACCCAAGGGGCGCATAGCACCCGAGGCGCGAAGCCGAGGGTACTATGCACCAATGCTATATCGTGCCAATAACTCAAAAAGATAAATGGTTGTTACTTGTGCGAGAAATGAATTACATCACTGCGATGTAACCTTTGATGTAAGGTTTTGATGTCCTACCGGACATGAGACTGAGCGTTTTGACGTTGCATGCAGTTCTCATTGCTCAAAGCTAGCGATATCACCCTAAGTGTGTGACATGCATTTTTATTGTCCAGACACGTGGCCGTCCTGGACCAATGAAATTACAGTATCCAAGCACACGATATAACAAATGTTTTACAGACTGACTGTTCACGTGGCCTTAATTGTTCGGGGAAAAAAATGAAATTACACTATTACAGTGTCCAATTAGCAAACGATATAAACATTTCAATTATTTTTTATTTCCGAGGGGAATACCGTGCGCAACGTAAATCGGCCCTTACGATTCCTCACGTTTCTTTCAGTAGTCATGACTCACTGTGCAGCTCGTTGCCAGAAAGCCTGTTTGCAATTCCCAACGTCATCATTAAATTTTATATAATGATGGCCTGCATTTCCAGTATAAAGTGAAAGTCAACAGATCTTTCCCTTCCAGTGCATGTCATGATTTGGTCGAACTATCATGGTTGAATAGGTTGGCGAATTACAAACAAACATTATCGGGAAACTTTAGTGAAAGCAACTTTCGATTCAAATGCAACCAATTCTTGGAATTGGTAAGATGGAAAGTAAACGCCCTTGTGTCCAGCAACAATCCTGCCTAACATTAATGCTATATACTGCCATTTATACGATGTGGTAATGACCTCTTGAAATTATTATAATTGCCATATTGTGTGGTCTATATTCATATTAACCTTAAATTGACGCATAAGGAAAGGAGAAATACATCTCAAGATAATCGGTTTTCGTTTCGTGTGTGGTCCCTGGAACCAAGTAGGAGCCATCCAGAAGAAACTCTCAATTTCAGTATCGCATATAATGCATCACGTGCTGCGCATACTGCCATTTGAACGGGTCAGCAACGAAATTTGAACTTTTATTTCAATTTCTCTCGGTCTCGCGGTTTCGGTGTGTGAGAAAGAAAAGCATATACACCTGTTGGGCAACCATGCCCTGTGTCATTTACTCAAGACAGTTCAAGTAAGGATGAACTCGTCATTCATACGAAGGAATCCTTCTCCAGGTGAGGAGGTAAGGTTTTGATATATTCTAACAGTTTGTAAGCAGGTTTCCTTCTTTAGATTGTATGTAGGGAAGAACAGAGAGCGATAAACATGCCTAAAATGTTTTAACTCCCATCACTATTTACAAATAGAAAAGCGCTAATTGAAGGTAAAAGTTCAACGATTACTTGTTTCAATATTAAATCCGGAACATCATAGTAAAACTGTTTAAATCTGATGTGGGATGTTAAGAGTAAAATATTTCAGGCCTACATGTAGTTAATGATTATGTAGGGAGTTGGATCAGTATTCAGCAACCTAATGAACACATTTATGTCAAAATTCTCGTTCGCACCCCTCATTTGGGACAGGATAGCCACGCCCAGTTTTCATCAAATTAGGAGGAAATTGTGCAAGTGCGGGGAATACTGGTAAATCCCATTGGGGAAACGTGCATGTATTTTTAGTAACTCTAAAACGGTAATTGTGTCCCACAGTTAATATGAGGACGACCAAAGGAAGTACTTCTGTGAAAAATCCTCGTGACTTCCTTGGTAGCATCACAACAGAGATGGGCAGGTTTGCAGTACGAGCCGTAGTGCGCGTGCTTCTATGCGGATTTCTATGTGGAATGGCTCAAGGTAAGTTACCTCAATTTGACATGAATATTTTGCAGAATTGATTTGTTACAAAATTGCAATAGGAAATCTAATGTTGTCACGTTTGTGCGTAACTATTGTTCTACACTGCACGATAAAAACGGTGGAGAAAAAAATCCCGTAAATTTCCTCTCTTTTTTTAGGTATAGAACTGTTAAATAAAACCATAAAATAGGCACTATGAAAGTTACGACCTCAACAATGGTCCTAAAGTGTCAGCTTTTTCATGCCTGTTTCTCAATGAGATCTTAAGTACCGATGTGAGGAGGAGAGAAAGAATTCAAACAATTTAGGACATCAACGGAATCGTCACCGACTTTACAGTCATTAGTCATTAAATCCCATCAATACTGCCTGTATGTGGTCTCAGTTACGTCTTTACTTTTAAAAGAAAACAATGAAAGTTAGGACGTAAAACAATAGCATTGGGCATTGATCAACTGTGAACCCATGAGAAATTGACGACTTTGCTTACGGAGTAGCTAAGATGAACGTTTTGTAAATGCCTAAGGCCTGTTTCTGTCGCATCGGGCCAATTTTCCAATTTACGTTTTCTCCACTTCTTCAAACTGAAACTTGAAAAGGGACAAGTTCAAGCAACCTTAATGGCCGATCCAGGTCTAGGGGTCACTAGGGGCTATCACCATCCCCCCCCCCAAAAAAAAACACCAATAATTGTAATTTTTAGTGAATGAAAAGATAATGCGTGCGGTATGGCCCAAAAAACTGTCCGTCTGACTGTTTTCAAAATAACTACAAAACCACGAGCTCAATTTTGATTTGTTTTTGGTTGTGCAGATACTCCTAGGCCTAGGGCCTAGGCCTCAACCCATAATGAGTTTCATTTAATTTCAGTTACGCATCACTGGACAATTGTCAATGGAGCACAACAAGTACTGAAATTGAATGAGGCAAGGAACTTGGTCACAGTGTCCAAACATGTTGTTGTGATCAATTGACAATTATTATTAAACTCAGAGGTTGAGTCCAAAGCTTAGGACTAAATCTGCACAATCAAAAATCTTCAAACTTGACCTATGGTTTTGTAGTTGTCTCAAAAATAGTCAGGGACACTTTTTTGGGGACACACTGTATATTTCAGGTTTGTTGCCAGCCTGTGCGAGGGATAAAATGAAGGGAAAAAATGGACCTTTCAACGAAAGTCTAGACTTTTAATCATCAAATTGGGAAACTATTCTTACACTTTCATTGCAGCCTAAAAGTCTGTTTGGAGAACAGACAGGTCCCAAGCATTGAAGATCATGGACCCATGATGAAGGTTGACCACCACCCCGACCCCCTCGCGAATGGTGCCGCGCCACTGAAATCAAGCATAGGTGCCGCGGGGTCACATGATACATGCACGCATACCTGCAGGCTTGCGGTTCAAAACTATAACACAGTTCAATCATTTTGAAGGTGCATGGGAGCATCTGAATATTGGCAGTGATGATTTTCAATATTTTTTGATTTGAGTCAAATTCTCAGTGTAAAACAACAGGCTTCCTTTCCCTACTCTCTAAATTCCAAAGAGTGAAAATTCACTCCATTCGAGTGAAGATTCACTCCCACAGTCGGAAACTAGGGACTAATAGACGTTTTAGAGTGAAATTTCTTCAATCGTAAATATCGAGTTTTCACTCGAGCTTCGACTGAAGCGGTTCATTTTTCTGACTATTTCAATCGAAAATGAGAGTGATTTTCACTCTAAAACGTCTAGTCCCTAATTTCACTCTTTGGAAGTTCGAGAGTAAATTGGTTTAGAAATGAACACCCCAACTTGGTCAGAAAGTGAACCGTTAGGTTGGGGTTATTTTGAGGAAAATATTTCCAACTTATTTCAGTGCAGCAAGCGTGGAAAGAGGGGAGTTCAAAAGTACACTTTGCTCGTACATATCTGGAGAAGTCACCAATCAGCTTTCTCCAACGTAGTCTTAATGCCAAATCGTATTGTAAATTAATTTATTTTATTGTTTGCAGCCTCACACTCGCCAATGAACATGTTTGCTCAACGCAAATACAGCGCGTCCCAAAATACCCGCAACTTTTTTTTGCGAGGTTCTATATAGCGTTGGCGCGCAAACACGTATATCGCCATTATTTTTATACTATTCTAAAGCTTGGAATCTGAACTTTATCCCTTGCAGATAATGGTTTGATATTTAAAAGAGTTCTTAAAATTATTCGTGTTCAAATAAAGCATGTCGAAAACAAACTCAACCGATTGCTAGGAAAATTGATGATGCGGTACAACAGATGCAAACTCGAGTCACACTTGGAGCGCGCTGTTTGAATAGGTACATACTTGCAAGTGAATTTCAAAATTGAACTTGAAACGAAGAACAATATTGTGAATTCGTTTAACGTGTAGTATACGTGGATCGAAAAGAATAGGAAAACACAGAAAGTAAAAGCCAACGAGATCATCATGGACATGATGAACCATTTCCACAGTAGAAAAAAATGTGCATGATTGATTTTCCTTGAAATCGGTTGAGTTTGTTTTTGACATGGCTTTATTTGCACACAAATCATTCAAAACCCTTTGGAAAATCACACCAATACTTAACCAGGGATAAAGTTAAGTTTCCAAACTTAAAAATGACATAAAATAATGGCGGCACGCGTTTTCGCGGCGTCGCTACAGCCTCGCAAAAAAATGTTGCAGGTATGTAGGGACGCGCTGTAGGGCAGTGGGACGTTTCGGTATGTTGAACCGTAGGATATTTGTATTGTATTATGACTTTTCCCCTGTAAAGATTTCACTCGTTTTTGACCTCTACCGCCTTTCAACCTGAAAAGCCGTCTAACGAAGGAACCTTTCAAGACATAGTGCACAAGCGAATGAACGAAATATAGGGGAACAAGATGGGGAACATCACTAACGAAAAAAAAACCCACTCAAAACCGATGTGTTTCGCTTATTTTTTTTATTCCAGAGCTGAATGCAGACGATTTGGTCACAGCAAACACTGTGACCGGTGAGGAGTGCCAAGATGTCATCTTGACTTGCCGGCTGAGAGGAGAGGGCCGCAGCCTGGGCCTCCACCGCCGGTTCTCCTGGTCCAAGCAAGGCGGCGACCGCTGCGGTGACGGCGGAGGCACCGTCAGCATCACCGACTGCAGCTTCCGCGAGGCGGGCCAGCTGCTCGACCCATCAGACAAATTCAACTACGCGGTGGCCAAGGACAACACGAGCTGCAACCTGACCGTCAGGGGGTTGCAGTTGTCTGATGCGGGATGCTACCAGTGCGACTCGTGGGCGCCAAGTGGGGCCGTGTCTAGTTGCGTGGAACTCGTTGTTGTGGGTATGTTCACTATTTGTTGTTGTTACAATAACAGTAAAATAATATATTCCGTTTTTGGAATCAAGGAGGGAATTTACTATTCCTATATAGCCTCGGCGGAATCTAACATCCCCCTAAATATATTAGTCAATTAAATATGTCATGGTATATCGATTAACACATATTGAACTGGACAGTTCTAAGTATACTACAATGATATTTACAGGTTTTTGAAAATTTGAAGAGAGTGGGGGAAAAGTCGTTAGTTTGATTGTACATGGCAGTAATAAAGTGAGCAATTTTGTCTCACATATTTTTTCAACGAGCAGAATGTTTGGGTTCACAATTTGAAAAGAAAACCCCTACATTGAAAAGTGTCTTCCTGAAATGACATCACAGCAACAACGCCTTCAGTTGTCCGGATATAGCATGGAAACATGTTAAAAGTGCATCTTTCAATACAATTCACCAAAAAGGATGTCAATTTTTTCATACATTTAAGAGGAGTAGAAAGTTGCAAAAAAATGTTTCTCAGAAAAGTTTATTTCATGGACCCTTTAAATTTATGAATGTAACATTAAAGGGGCCGATAATCAGATTCCCTCTAACAAATCACAATGATACTGACCAATTTTCCTTTTCAGATCCCGTCAGGAGAGCCTCAATTATGCAGACGAGCCCGGTTATTCTCGAAGGCATTCCCGCAACATTCACCTGCAGTGCCGGCTACGGCGACGATGAAGTCCAGTTCACCTGGCAATTGGACGGGACGGACCGCCTTCCAAACGAGGCGGCCCTGGTCAGGCCTACCGATGGTAGCGTGGATTGCACGGGCCGGAATGAGACACTTAGCACGGTGGAGCTTACACTGAAAAGAAATGGTTCCGGGTCGGTTCTACAGTGCGAGGTCCGCGGCGCTCAGCTGCTTGAAACCGCCAGTTTAATCATACCGGATGTACAAGGTAGGTTAAAGTACTTTGGGGAATGTATGAATATGATACTTCTTTTAACACCCTTCTGAATCATAATGAACCCTAACAAGCTATCAGTTGTAAAGGAATTTCAGTTTCATTGTTATTTTGAAAAATAAAATGATAATAATAATTGCAGGCAGGCTGTTCAAAATCCGGGCCACGGCCCTAAAATGATAAAAATCTGCGTGTCTGTACGCTACGTTTCCTCAACGCCGTCCTCGCATGTTATGCGCCAATTGAAAAAAAGGACAGAAGTTTCCTTTAAAAACAAGAAAACAACAAACACAGAATCAAAACAAGGACCAAAAAAGTCCTGCCAATTCTTTGTAGTCCTATATTCAAAACTAGAAAGCACTCAGAGAGCGCAAACCTCCGCCAAGGCTAAGAAGCCATTCCCGCCATATTGTCAGTACACCCAAAAGAAGTAGTCGCATTAATGGTGAAGAATTCTAAAAAAAAAAAAAAAAAAAAAGGTGGATCCAGACCCAGATCCTGATCACTTCCAAAATCTAATCGATGTGTACTTGTACCAAGGACCACCCATACAAAAATGTTCATGCAAATCCGTCCATACCCTTTTGAGTTATCTTGTTAATAACTAACAAACCAACCAACCAACCAGCAAACCACCAACCAACCAACAAAATCGGATGAAAACATAACCTCCTTGGCGGAGTTAATAACTAAAATGCTGCTTTGCCTAATCATACATGTAATAACACTACAGCTGAGCGTCGCAAAACACCTCAAGTCACGAATCACGTGACGTGTCCGGAACAATAAGAGCCTGAATGTAAAAGTCACGTGACTGAGCTTCCGGAACCAGCTCGTGCGGCCCGCCTATGGGCATTTTACAAATAGGTTGCCCTTTCCTTGCTATTAGAGTTTTGACATTATGATTTCTAACCGTAATCACCCCAAGAAAGATTCATGTTGGGACTTTATCTAATTGGTATTCCTGAAAAATATGATGAGAAATCACTTGCAGATTGGTAAAAACCGATTTTACTTTCGACCTTTTATTGTCGATTTTTTTTAACTGCTAAAAGAGTCCTTCAAGTTTATTCAAAATATTGTATATACTTAGTTTCAGTTTTCACCCAATGACCACCACAAATGTATTTCATGAATTTTCATCTTTGTACGAGTACACCGAGTTCCATGGTCCTCATGTGTGAGAGGTCAATTTTTGGCACGGCCTTGCTTTCTTTTACGTTAGGCGATTTTTCAATTCCATAAATTGAGATGCTAGTAACGTTCAGAATAATTTGAAAAAGGACAAAAGGTGTTCAACGAAACCCCTTTCATATGTGTGTATAGAGAAGGAGGGAGCGATGACTAAAATAACGCCAAATGTAATTAATTCAATTCAATGATATCGCAAGCAGTCATGTATTTATAATTTTTTTTCATTTCTGACTTATTTTCAACCACAAATACAAAATGGTTGGATTTAAAATACACTAATTTAAGGCGATTAATTAATTAAACTACGGAATGTACCATATTCTCCGATGCTAACACGTGGCCGCCGTATGCACCCTTAAAGGGTCCATGCAATGTAATTTGTTTAATGCTATCCATTGAGAATGCACCTTTTTGTCACATTTGACCTTTTTGTCAATTTTCTTTTTGTCATTTTTGAAGGTTATTTTGTGCCTAGTTGATTTTTATGCTAATACGAATTTCCATATTTATGAGCAAAAGTGTAATGTCATTCCGGGCAGAAACCTCAATATTACAGCTATTTCAGCACACACAAAATTGCTGGAATTTTGGATATTTCGCGGTCATAACGTTTCTTTTCTTTGGCGATTCGTTGTTGTGTAAGTACTTGGCAGTAAGCCAATGAGCAACCCTTACTCACAAATGTTTTCAATGAGCAAATTTGTGAGTTCACAATTTGAACAGAAATCCCCTAAACTGAACAGTGTCTTCCTGAAATGACATCACAACAACAGCACCCTCAATTGTCCGGAAAAACATTGAACATTTCAAACTTTAAAGAAGTGCACTTTTCAATAAAAATTAACCAAAAAGGGATGTCATATAGTTTTCATACATTTAAGAGGAGTAGAAAGTTGCACAAAATGTGTTTCTAAGAAAAGTTCATCGTACGGACCCTTTAAAAAATTCACCGGACAGCTCCTCAAGGTGTCAAGTGCTCGGATCACAATGCTTGCGAGACTTGAAAGTGTTGGCGGTTTTTTACGAGAAATTGAAAAGGAATTAGACTACCGCGCTTTCGCTATTGCATCAGACAAGGAAAAGACACAGTTTCCTTATCAATGATCTTTCTAGTTTTAAGTAGGTCTATAAAGCAAAAAATGCTGTGGTCGTTTTCGCTTTGGCATCCCGTATCTCTGGAATTAATCAAAAGAGTTTCTGTTTCCATCATATAAATGATTTGCATCTGTTGATACGTATTAAAATCGTTCAATCCAAAGGGCCTAGCTGACTCAAACTTCTCCTTTGTTGAGGCCGCGTGGTAAAACCCTACGAAACCTTGCGGTCCAGGCTCCCTGCACTATTGCATTGTAATACTGGAAACAAATGATTAGTCTGGTTCTCAAACCTGACATTTGTTCCCGACGGCCCTTTTTAAAAACTCGGCTTCGTTTCCGAATTCGCTTTTTCATTAAAGCTTTAATGTTCCGATCAAATTTTGAAATAAATCACTTACTTCATAATATCATACAGTTATGATAATACAGTTGGATATTTCTGTAAGAAAACATTGACTAATGTTGACCTGGAATCTTCAAGGTTAGGCACCCAAATAGCACTGTTAGCAGGCGGAGCCGACTGAAGACCACGCCGAGTTTTGGAAAATGCCGGTAACGGTCGTCAAATTCAAAATAGTATATGACGCAGCAAAATGTTCGCCCTTCGTATACGATCCGAGTACAAAAACGTCGTTGAATTTCAAATTTTCTTACTAAAAGCAATGAATATTAATTATAAACTCGTGCTTATTTTTAATAAGCAATTAGCTTATTCGGAAATACTTATTCGGAAATACTCGGGCGCTATCCGATTGTCGACGAAATGAATTAAGCAAACTTCGGACATTTTCGGAAAAAGAAGGAGTTCCTCCCGTTTTAGTCAGGTGACGTAAATTGTAATACAATGTATTACCGAAGGCTACCTGACCTAAGATTCATCAGGAATAGTCAGAATCTTTTGGTCTGGGAACCAGACTAACAAATGATAAGCTACTATGTGACCAGTCTCTTTTCCACACACTCCACAACTGGATCAATTATCGATCGTGCGTTTGATTGACCTATATTCGAACCCTATTGACTGATCGACCTTAATCTTAGCAGTGGCTGATCTACGGGGTTGGGGTGGTTAGGGGTTAAACCCCCCTCCCCCTCACCCTCCCCTCGGCCACAAAATATGAAAAATATAACAGAAAAAAATAGCACTTGTCTGCCAACCCCTCTCATGACAGCTAAACGCCCTCTTGGGCTAAACCTTGCTCGGCCCCTGCTGCCGTTAACGGGTTTTTTTAGCGAAAGGTTATAACCTTTTTGCAGTATGGCGGAAACATTTGGGTATAAAATTCGAATGACTTTACCGCTCCAAATGGCACCATTCTATTGTGTCTGCCAAACTTCAAAAGTTCACTGTGAACAAAAGCACGACAACCGACTTCCTTATTTTGGTGTCAACAGCAACTTCCCAACCGTCGCTTCGGGTCAGAAGTTGCAAAAGTGTTCGATAATGTTTTTGAGGATACTGACTAAAAATGACCATTTACTTGGAATTTTTGGAAACCCAGTTTCACCCAAGTTTATCGCCGAACAATTAAAGGGAGGCCCGAGACGCCTAAACTGTATACATCTCAGATACCCACAATTATCTATGTTATTTTTTAATATGCCCATATCGGCATATTTAAACATGCCCGTATACCCATATGTCAATATCTAAAATCTCACAAGGTCAGTGGCGTGTTTTCGCTTTGGTTGCATGACTCCATGAGGCCATCGATTTGTTTTTTTTCTGTAGTCTATTATCTTTGAGTGCTGACGCTTTCAATTCCTTAAAATAAAAAAAACGGGTGTGTGAGGGGGAGGGGAGGGCGTAGATCAATCACCCCACTAGATTGCAGAATAGGATTTCCTCAGAACTAATTCTGATGACTGAGAGTTTTTTCTCTAAATAAAACTGCATCTTTTACAAAAGGATTCACGGCGACATTTTTAGAAGTGTAATTGTCTGAAGAAACAAAGACTTAAAAAAGACTGACTGACTGACACACTTCACTCAAAACAAAATCACTTGGTGCAAATTTGAAAACGAAATTTACAACTACATCTAGCTCCTAGCGAGTTGTTGATTTAAGTGTTTCCTTAACTTGGAAACACTGCACTTACCTGGATCCGGTTTGTGGCTCTTTGCCAAGAAACGAATCAATAGAGACCAGGAAAAAAAGTGATTGTTGTCCATGGGAAAGCTTAAGAAAATAAGCAAATGCATGCCATTATTGTTTGAACGTCTGTGTAAACGTAGATCTTATATTAAAGGTTGGCCTAGTTCAGCAGGTTGTTCGCTTGAGTCCAGGCTGTAAGCACCGTCGATATATCAATATTAATCGATTATTCGATATTATTGTGATATTGATATGCTAAGCATATTTTTTCATCATATTGCAATTTTCAATATTGAGAAATCATATCGAAAACATCGAAAATGCGTCAGATTATCGTCAAAATAAATGTCCTGTTTGTACTTACGCTGTGAAAATATTGGGTAATTGATTCGTTTGGCAAAATATAAGCAACACAATATGTATAGGCAATTTTGCCCAATAGTTGAACGTTTTAACTATTCGCCCATCGTCCAACCTTTTTACAGTGTATACTTTGTGCTTATCGTTTGCTGTAGGCCTATAATGAAATAAAACTCGCCGGCAACTTTGTGCTTGTGACTCAAAGTAAAAACGTCGCTTTGTGTTCTGCGTTCGCTGGAATTCTCGGTTTCCCCAATGTAAAACTATAAAAAAAAAAATGAAAAAAAATGAAAAAAACGCCCGTTCTAGACAAATTCTCCGTGCTGAAAATTCTGATATCGACGGTGCTTCCATCCAGCACGCGACGTCGAAATGTTATCCCTTTGGATAATGCCGCAAGCTAATTCGCATTTTTATGAAAACAATATAGGCCTACATAGCAAGTCTTAAATGAAGGAAATCGGTGACCCCGTAATTAAAAATCTAGAGACCTTGTTTGTTGAATGAAGTTTCAACAATACAATGCTGACCGTAGATCCATTGTCATTCCCCCAAAAAACCTCGTCATTTGAACTGTTATTTTGGATGGACATACCAGCCACTTGAGGAAAATTTCTTTTGGCTGTTTCTCGATCTCGGCTGAAGTATATGATCTGTTTATAAAAACCTTGGCTGTAAAAGGTTACTTTTTTTTTGCATTTCCTCACCGTGAAAAACAAAGTTTCCCTGTAATTCTTCGCCCATAGATACCGATTGACTTTTGACGTCAGCTTTGTGGTCAACTATCCTTTACAGGAAAGCATTGGCGGCTATGCTTATCTTTACTTTATCTCCAACTTTCAATTTTACTTTGTGCGGAAGACGCGCATCGTGTTTATATGGTCACAAGGTTGTCCTCACCTTTCCCATCTGTTTAAGTTAAATCAATCGGTACTGAAAAAGATACTAACTATTTCCTTGCAAAACGTCAGTACATGTACAGCGTGAGTCAATAAAAGCGGAGCCCAAAACCCAAAAATTATATTTCATATTTAAAAAAATATGTAGCACCAAAAATAATAATGACTGGAAAGCCGATTTCATAAGCTACTTTTAGATGAAAAAAATTACTGAAATTGGTCAATCCGTTCAAAGAATATCACCATTTAAACACAATGACCCTAAAACCTCTTTCGTCAAAAAAGGCGATTTCAAGAGTCTTCAAACACCACCAGCGATAAAACCGCAGTTTAAAAGTAAAAAATATTCAACAAAGACCTTTTGAAGGCCCGTCTTTTAAAATAAAAAGTGGATTTTATAAATCATATTGCTTGCCTTACCAGGGTTGTTAATCAAGATATTGTGTACTACGGTTGTTGACAGTTGTTGAAACAAGTATTCAGTGTCATTTTCTTTGTTGTTCCAAACAGTCAGAATACACAATAAATTGGGGGTTTTTTTTGTACGAAACAGGTTTTAGGGTCATTGCGTTTTGATATTGTTTGAACGGATTGAGCAATTTCAGTAATTTTTTTCTATCTAAAAGTAGCTTATGAAATTGGCTTTCCAGTCATTATTATTTTTGGTGCTACATATTATTTTTTAAATATGAAATATATTTTGGGGGGTTTACGTAACGCTTTTTTTACTCACCCTGTATAATCTAGAGAGTTGGGTTGTGGAATAAAATTAATATGGATCTGAGTACAAAATAGTTCCTCGCCCGGGACTGTTAAAAAAAAAAAAGAAGGAGGCGGCCCTCCCCCTTTTTTATTGCCTTTTTTCCCTCAAGATGACGGATTTTCCAAGATGGCGGATGGATTCGTCCATTTTCTCGATTCTTTTTCTTGATTAAAGATTGTGCCCAAAAGAGCCGTTACACTTTCTACATATTTAGCTATAATTTTGTTGGTTACGTGTACTCTTGTCAGTTTTTTTCATATTGTTATGTCTATTTGTACAATGTATGTATATGTTTTTTAGGGTTTTAATGTAAGGTTTTTTAATGTGAATGTGCAGAACGAGGAGACAAATTTTATGTTTTACATGATGAGAATAAAAATTGAATTTGAAATTGAATTGAAATTGAAAAAGACAATGGACCGATACCCATGTTGACAATAATATTTGCAAAAAAAAAATGCAAATGAATGAATTAAATTTTCATAAAAGGAGGCGGGCGGGAAACAAATATTTTATTTGCATCTCGGTAAAAAAAAAAAAAATCATTGACCGTACGGCGGTCACTGTGGTTTCGCTATAGCGTAGTGTTGAATCCTGCAGGTTCCGGTTTTGAGTCATGGAAAAAATTTTGTTGAGAGTTAAAGGGATCATTTTGGTCCGAAATTATCAATTACACTCATTTTGCGTGACGGTCCTTCAGCAAATTTCCTGATTGCAACCCCGCCAATCAAAATGGTCTAGCGACGTCCCATGCTGCTGTCTTGGTTGCAGATCAAGTAAATGCAGGCGGGAAAAGGGAAGTGGGCGGGAATAAGAAACTTGTATATTATTAATTTTTACTTGGACTTATTGTTCCACAATCTTTCTTTCTAAATTTCGATTAAATCTTTCTGCTACACTCACTCTTACCTCTATTTTGGTTCTTCGAAAACCACTTTATATAATGTATTTTTTAAATATTATAACCGCCAATATTCTTATACCTTATGATACACATTTTTCAAAGAAGCTAGCATTTTTCTATCTTAATGTCTTATTATCAGTGCCGCCCACTTCCGTCGCCATATCAAACGATATCACGAGAGAGCTCCGCAATGTACCAGGCGGAGAGGTTCTGATCAAGGAGCACGGAAACGCTTCCTTCAGTTGCGTGGCGGTCGACACCAAGCCCGCCGCGCACTTGACTTGGCTCTACCGGGGCCTCGAGGTTCAAGACGGGCCAGGCGGACTGGTAGAGACGGTGGTAGAACGGCCCGGAGTCGAGGGCAGCACGTACGATGTCAGCAGCACCGTGATACTGAGGAATATCCCGCGGCAGGATGACGGCGCTGAACTGGTCTGCAATGCCACGGGAGCTGGTGGCGTCTCTGCGACTCTTGGCATCAAGATCACGGTGAACGGTAAGCAATTGAAGGATGTTGTTTAAATGCTTAAAGGATCATTTGCTTTTCACGTTTTTTGTTCGTTTCCAATAATAACACCACTCAAATCTAAGAAAGAATGTTCAAAACATGTTGAAGTTTCAGCTCAGTGGATTTAGGCCTTCTCTTCTAGAGTGAAGTAACAACACATGCACAACGTTTTGATCGTGCCCCGCAAACTTCAACGCTCGGCAGCTCCAAGAAATTGGCCACTGGTCACACAATTTGGACACTCAGGCTAAAGGGCCTAATATAGGACCTACTTGTTAAAATGTTATACCCTTCCCTCGGTCTTAGCCTTATAGAGCGGCTCATAGGAAATACTGCTTTGCAAACGTGATGTGCGATAGTACCGCTGGCATGTCCGAAACGGACCCACGGTTCATTTGAGACCTAGCCCAGGCGTCCCAAGGCCCCGAGTTCCGTCGGACGACCCGTTCCGGCCGCGCCGTCCCCACGCGCGCGGGGTACTGGCACACTTCTTGCCACATCCTTGTTATTATTTACTTATGTTCAAATATTATATTGAGTAAAATACTGTCGAATTAAAAGTGGTATTTCAGAAAGGGGGCAAGGCATGGTCTTTTCACTGTTTATCTAAATGAGTGAGAACTGCAGCTAAGAATCCTGTCATTTTGGAACTGGTCACATTATGAAATGAACTCCGTTCTTTCCACGCCTCCATCCCCTATTGTTTCCCAAAACGACAAAATAAAGAGGATGACACACCAATGTTTTTAAGTTCATTTATATAAAATGAAAATCACATGAGGAAAAAGTCCATTATTTTTCTCCAAGCTATTGTTTTACGATTACCTGAAATTTCAAGACGATTCAAACATTGCATATTCTTGCATTCTCAGCTCCCCCACAAAACGTCACCATAACAACCGGTGTCATAGTTGAAAGCGTGCCCGCTCAGTTCGCATGCTCGGCCGAAGGCTCGCGCACGAGATCTTCCATAGTCTGGTACCTCGACGGCGTGACTGTCGCAGCGACCGGGTCCCAGCAAACGTCCTTCTCCCCGGAGCTCTTGAAAACGACCAGCGTGGTCACTTTGTCCCTTCGGAGACACCAAAGCGGCTCCCGACTAAGATGCGAGGCTTCCCATGAGTTGCTGGATGAGCCCTTGATCAAGGAAGTGGTCTTGGACGTGTACTGTAAGTAAAACCTTTCTTATTCGTACATTGAGGAGTCTTTTATTGATGCAATTTTTATATCAGAACTTAGATAAATAAATAATCAGACTTCTACTTCCTCACAATTTTCTTCCTTTCGCAGTTTGCCCTGCACCCTCCATTACATGTCCCACCTCTGTGAACAACAGCGACCCGTACACTCTTACATGCCGGACTGCCAGCAGCCGGCCACCAGCTAATCTCAGCATGTACTTCGAAGAGCCACTTCAACTCCTCGGCGCAGAGACTGAGACCGAATACGAGCCGGCCGACGACGAGGGAGCCACGGCCGTTCTGACGGTAGAGCTGACCGGTGATCGCTCGGACCACGGGAAGATGGTGGTTTGTAGACGGAGTCCAAGTGAAATATGTCGCAACGAGGAATTGGATACATGCCATCTGAATATGCATTGTGAGTGTAATGGAAAAGTTTAAGGAATAATCACTGTTAGGATATCTTTTTTAAATTGAAACCTCCGGAAAACATTGCTGTATACATCCAGCTCCAGTCAGTATCGTTGTTTCAACCTGACATTGATCGGAAGCAGTGGCGTAATCCGCTGAGGGGTTGCAAGGGCCCACCCTGGAGATATTTTGCCCTTAAACAACTATTTCAATGAAAGAGCAAGCACCTCACAACCACGCACTACAAAACACCCTATACCCCTCTATACCATTTCGCCCCTGCCTCTTGAAAACCTGGATACGCCACTAATCGCAAGTAAACCTATACTTATCTCATGAAACTTATCCCATTGCTCCCTGTCCCCAGTTCCTCCGACCGAGGTCGAACTCTTGGACGGTGCCAACTCGGACAGCGATTCGCACCAGACAGGCCGCAGCGTCGAGGTGATCGACGGCCGCGAGTACGCCTTCACGTGCTCGGCCTCGGGTTCCAATCCCCCCGCGACGTTTCAGTGGAAACTGGGTGACGCCGAGCTGCACGGTGCCGCGTACACCGAGACCGAGCGGCGCGGTCCCGGTCCCGGGCCGGTCAGCAGGGGGTGGGACGCCTCCAGCCGGCTGTCACTGACCGTTCGACAGGACGTCAGCCAGACTCAAATGCTGACTTGTCGAGTCATGTATCCGAGTCAGCGCGTCTTTCGACAGCTGAGTTTGGAATTGAGCATAATTGCTGGTAAGTCGATCCGATTGATTTTCTGAATTTGTTATATATAATAACAATTTGGTAGTTTTGGAAGTTTCTGAAGAATGTTTGGATTTATATAGTGTATACCACCGTGTAAACTTCTTCACCGGTGGCCCTCAAGGGATACCACCGGTGTTCAATTTACACCGCGGGGTACAAGTTCTGATGGTTACGAGAAGTAGGGGAGAAGGGCGGATACCAGACTTTGCCATAGGTCTGGGGGTAGTACAGGGCCAATGGGGAGAGGGGCAGGTACCAGACTTTACCCCTCTCCCTTTCCCCCACCCACTGGCCACGCCCCGCCCCTTGATCTCTCCCAATGATTTCCCTCCCCCTCCCAATAATCTCCCTCTCCCATGCAATGATCTCCCTCCCAAATATATCTCTCTCAATATCTCAGTCTCGAAATAAGGCCAGGCCCTCTATATTTATATTTTTCATTTTTGATCTTGTGTTAAATACGACTCGTACAAGTCTACTCCAACCCTGACTTGCAAAATATGAAGTGACTCAGGGTCACGGTGACACACTTTTGCAGTTGGCGTAAACATCTATTGAAATTCAATGGACCGTGATGAATTGCTTTTGTTAGTTGGGGCAGCCAGGATATGACTCATCGCAACGTCAGAAGCAAACAATGGTTGCTATTTTTAGTTCCTATATAAGCCAGATACCCTCACAGCGGATGGCCAGTCGGATTTATAAGGCGGAGTTCAGTGGTATCTAATCATATCCAGACTCGACAGCACTGTACAACTGTATAGCTTCATTTCCGAATACGAGCAGCTAAACTACCAACAGACCAACTTTCAAAGGTAATTATAATACGCTTATAACGTGTATTTTTTATACATCAGGTGTCCAATATGTCGGGGTGATTTGTGTGTAAAAGGCGAAAACCATAGGCGTCTTTACTTGTCAGCGGCCCCGAACACGTTGTAGTTGCGTCTTTTGCAATTTAACATGCCAGATACGAGTAAGGATGATTAGGCCCCAAATTATTATTACTGTATGTTTGTGTGTAACAAAATTTACTTATTAAGGCCTATTTCTCCTTTTTTTTCAGATGAACTGTCCATCTAGTGTTGTAGATGTTACATACGGGCAAGATTTCGTCACATTGGCAAACAGCATGGTCAACACGGTGGGTGAATGGATCGTGGTCAAAATAGGAGATTTGACTCAGCAGTTAAAGAATGCAAAAACCTTTTGATATATGACAAACCAAAAAGCTATTTAAATGAGCTAATTTGAATAACAAAGAAAGAGCCACTCGGAGTGGCTTTTTACTGTATATATTAAGATGTCAGAAAAGCTATTTATATGAGCTAATTTGAATAACAACGAAAAAGCCACTCGGAGTGGCTTTTTACTGTATATATTAAGATGTCAGAAAAGCTATTTATATGAGCTAATTTGAATAACAACGAAAAAGCCACTCGGAGTGGCTTTTTACTGTATATATTAAGATGTCAGAAAAGCTATTTATATGAGCTAATTTGAATAACAACGAAAAAGCCACTCGGAGTGGCTTTTTACTGTATATATTAAGATGTCAGAAAAGCTATTTAAATGAGCTTATTTGAATAACAACGAAAAAGCCACTCGGAGTGGCTTTTTACTGTATATATTAAGATGTCAGAAAAGCTATTTATATGAGCTAATTTGAATAACAACGAAAAAGCCACTCGGAGTGGCTTTTTACTGTATATATTAAGATGTCAGAAAAGCTATTTAAATGAGCTAATTTGAATGACAACGAAAAAGCCACTCGGAGTGGCTTTTTACTGTATAAATTAAGATGTAATAAAAGCTATTTATATGAGCTAATTTGAATAACAACGAAAAAGCCACTCGGAGTGGCTTTTTACTGTATATATTAAGATGTAATAAAAGTTATTTAAATGAGCTAATTTGAATGACAACGAAAAAGCCACTCCGAGTGGCTTTTTACTGTATAAATTAAGATGTAATAAAAGCTATTTAAATGAGCTAATTTGAATGACAACAAAAAAGCCACTCGGAGTGGCTTTTCACTGTATATATTAAGATGTCAGAAAAGTTATTTTAATGAGCTAATTTGAATAACAAAGAAAAAGCCACTCGGAGTGGCTTTTTACTGTATATATTAAGATGCCAGAAAAGCTATTTAAATGAGCTACTTTGAATGACAACGAAAAAGCCACTCCGAGTGGCTTTTTACTGTATATATTAAGATGCCAGAAAAGCTATTTAAATGAGCTAATTTGAATAACAACAAAAAAGCCACTCGGAGTGGCTTTTTACTGTATATATTAAGATGTAATAAAAGCTATTTAAATGAGCTAATTTGAATGACAACAAAAAAGCCACTCAGAGTGGCTTTTTACTGTATAAATTATAATATATGAATATCAAATAAAGAGAATGTATGAATGATCGTTTTATCGAGTCCAAGTTCAATTATAATGTAAAATCAATAGAGGGCGCTATTTCTGTGTGGTGATGGATATCAAAATAATATAAACAGGGTGGTATAATAAATGATCGATTTATCGAGTCCAGGTGCAATTATAATAAAAGAAATCAACAGAGGGCGCCATTCATTGGTGGTGAGGTATTATAAACAGAGGGCGGTATTTAATTTTATGATAAGGGTTATTATACCGATAAAAAACAGAGGGCGCTATTAACGGGCACTAAGAGATCTGATTTCAATTATATAAAGAACAGAGGGTGATATTTAATTCTTTATTTAAAATTGCAATCATTTTTATTTAAAGTTTATTAAATAGATGGAATACTTTGGGACGTCACAACTTGGGGATAAGTGCGATCATCATATAATCATCGAGAATGGTTTTTTAATTTGTGAAACGTGCGGTGAAATAGTTTCACGTTATTTTGATTTTTCGGCAGAAAATGCGCAAGAAGATCGTATCAATTGGTCAATTTTAAAAAGAAACAAAAGAAAAACTGTGGAAAAACTTATTTTGTCTGTTTGTCCAGAGCAAGACTTAGAAGATGTCCAAGAAACAATCAATAAATATAACGAGCTCGTTAATTACAAAACATTGAGGGGAAACGGATGTGTCAAACGGTCGTTAATAGCCGCGAGTTTCCATCACGTCATTGGATTAGACAAAGAACGAGTTAGAAAATTATTTAAAGTGACTCAAAATCAATTTAATAAAGCACTAAAAAGATACGATGACCACTACAATAAAGGCGGGGCCGAGGGTAACACCCCAAGAGGTGAAATAGAGGTATAACTCGGTGGATCGCTTTCATAATGTTTATTTACCGAGAATTTGAACTTGTAAGTTTTTCGATAAGAGATTTTTTTTCTTTTGCCAGCCGTTCGTCTACCCGTTTTTTAACTTCTTTTTCAAAGTCTGTATCGTTTTTAATTTTTTGAAGCTTTGTGCTGGTCTTTGTTCTAATTTTTTGCTTAAGCTCGTTAAATTTTGCGAGCTCTCTCGTAATCAATATAAACTCTTCGTGTGATATATCTCCGTCGTTGATGGCTTGAGACACGTATTCTTCAATCGTGTTAAGTTTGGAGTCTGCTAATATTTTAATCTGGTCGTGCTTTTTTAGCTTGGCGGATAATCGCCTAGACGCGATTCTAAGCAGAATATCTACACCAAAAGCGCCTATAAACGTTCCTTCTAGCACCAATCCAACGGGGGTTGATATAACACCCAAGAGAGCGGGAATACCGACAGCCCCCGCTATAGCCCCCAATCCTTCTAATCCTATTTCTACGTAATTAATAGTGTCGATCACTCTCTTTATTTTTTTATAAGTGTGCTCTCGGTGGTCTCTCTCTTTTAAGATTAAAGATCGAATCTCTTCAATCTTTTTAAGTCTGTACACTTTTGTTTCTTCGTTACTATTTAATCGGAGTACATCTCCAGAAATATCGGGGTATAGCGCCTTACCATCTACACTCATGTTTTTAATATAAAAAGATTTTAAAATTAAAAGATCTCCAACTCGATAATGATACCCTCACCCTTGTTGTTGAATACCTGTCCTTTTTCACCGCTGATAGAAAATGTCAGTTTGTCGATTATACCGTTTTTAAGATTTTTGAATCCCTCGGCTCTATCAATATCGGGTTTGCGCGTAGCCACGGGTACGATTTTTAAGATGTCAGAAGGACGACCATTAAAAAAGTTTTCACTCGTACTTAATTGCGGGCAGCGAATAAACAAAAATTTAAACGGATTAACGTCGTAAGACCCCGTATACACCACTTTGGGTACCAGTCTTCCTTTGGGTAAATTGAGTAATCGAGATACTTCTCTGTTCAAGCGCAATTTGAGATTTACGTCGGTTATCACCAATGTCACCTTTTTAGATTCTCTAAATATTCGAAAACTTACCCCGGGTATAGAATTTAAAATGAAATCGAACCAATCGACGTCGTACCACCCCGGTGCTATGATGACCGAACCGGTGACTCCGAGTGGTAACGGCGCTAAATGACTCGGAGGAATAAAATCTAAATCATCACCCGTCACGATAAGACTTCCCCTTATAATTACCCCTGCTTCTCTACTATCTCTCAACTCGCTCAACTCGCTCGCACCCATTTCTCCTTCAATAAACTTTGAAGCCAATTCCTCACCTTCAAAGATTTTCCTTTCTCTAACATATAATATTCTTACTAAAGATTGAAGCGTATTAAGTTCTAATTCAGTTTTTGGTATTTCTGAAGACATGGCGGCTAAAATCAACCCTCGCCGTTCAGCTATAATAGCTCTTTTTCTTTTGTTTGATTCTAAAACGGATTCTAGTCTATCGTCTTCGTACGCTTTTATAAGATCGTTTATAGTTTTTTGTAAAACATTTTCATCGTTAATTAAAAAGTGGTATGGTATATCGGGTAACAATCGCTCTATAAAATCTCTATCTGGCGTTCTTATGTGTACATCTGAAAGAAACTCCGCGGGTATGGGGGGAGGTTTATCTGTGGTAAACGCGGGTCTCCCATCTATTTG